TAACTAATTTCCAGTTATTAGATGTGCCGCTTCCTTCGTTCCTATTTCGGCCTCATGCAATCTGTAGCGGCTTTCTCCCCGTTTAGATTAAGCGCAGTTGTATAAATATCATAAAAGCATGTCAATCAACTTAAGTTACTCTACTACACACTACCTTATTCACACATATCACTTACTTACATTACACAACGAAAAATATAAACGCCGAATTTTCTTTTTTCGAGGGATTTTTCATTGTTTTAAAACATCAAAGATATAAATGATATTATTGAAATACAGAGGTATTATTAGTTGCAGGAGAAACTCATTTTGGCATCTGGATGATAATAATATTTATCCTCAAGGTAAAAGTGGAGATTTATTGGCGCACAATTACATGTATGTTTCATGTAGAATATATTGAGCAAGCTTTGACTCGGTTTTGGTTTCTCTTTTTTACTGATATAAAAATCAACTTTATAATTTTTCTACTTATTCTAAAGGGTCTGCATGCAACGGTTTTGTTCTTTTTTCTTCCTTTCTTACTTTCTGTTATTTATTTATTTGGTTCATATTTAGTCGACTTGACGAATGAGATTTATTGCAAAGCCACGACAACATGGGGCCCCATGTTTGATAATTATGAAGGGATTTTTTACAATTCACGCCGTTGATATGTTTTAAACCTGACATATTTAACTTTCTTAATGCTTATCATTATAGCAATTAAATTCTCTTTGTAAGAACTTCCCCACTTTAACTTTTAAGCCAGTACGTACTCGTACCTTTCATACAGTAAAAATAAGACCATTTTCACATCGCGCGTTAAGCTTATCTGTAACAAAACTCAGAGTTTTAATAGCCCGGCGCAAGAGAGTCGTCTATACGTAGCCCCAGTGCTCTGCATGTATAGCTGGAGTAAAGGGAGTAAAATGTTTTCAAACTAGTTCGTGAACCGGTAGAAAATGACTCCATTTGCGAAAGACAGGCTTTAAAGTGTGATGGAAAACACACAGTTACCCTAATCTAGAATCTGCATATGTACAGCCCCGAGAATTTAAAACACAGCGCGTTATGAGATTCGCCGTATAGTTCTTTGAGAAATAAATGTTATCATGATGATGCATTCATGAAAGTCAACCAATAATAATCTGAGATTGATAACCAGGGGCGGATCCAGAGATATTTTCTGACAGTCTTCCAATTTATCTTTGTTAATTCGTCCTCAATTTTTGACCGTCTTCCGACAGAAAATATTACATACCCGTCAATGTAAACTTTAAAATCTGACCGTCTTCCAGAAGACCCAGAAGACGGCCTAAATCCGCCCCTGATAACTATAACGCAAGGTGTAAATACTGACACCGCGGCGCGTATTTTGATCCTTAGATGAGATATTCCATCTTTTTAGTAGATTTTCATAGATGTTTCCTTATGATAACTCATTTATTACTATTAGAGTGTTATGAAGAAAGGAAAACGGAGGCAAAATGACCAGTTGAAGAGTTTCAGTTTCGATTAATGACTTCACAATTAACTTTTAAACTTTTAACTTTTAAACTTTTAACTTTCAAAAATGAATTACCACGAATAAATAAATGAATGAATTTAAATAAATAAATGACATTTTTAATGTTTCATATCTGTCCTCATAGTGTGATCATTGTGTGATCATTGTAACATATAAAGACACAGTTGCGTGTCTTCGTGCTAGTTGCGTGTCAATTCTCGTCGAAATGTCTGGTTATGCTTAACACGACAAAGGGAAACTACACAGATTTTTTCAAGTCTGTCACGCCTTGGTTCTTCTTTCAATTTGAATGAATTACAAGTACTAAACAGGTGAATGGATGAATAAGTACACAAAAAGTAAACAGACAAACAAACGAATAAATGTACTGCGAGTTGAGAGCTCGAGGAAGAAGAAAAGACGAAAAAGAAAGTAAAAAATGATAAAGAAAAAAGAAAAGAAGAATAAAATGCGTAAGAATTCATATAGATAAATAAATCGCCAAAAGAACAAACAGACTAACTAAGAGAGAGAGAGAAAGAGAGAGAGAGGGAGAGACAGAGTTCAAATACAATAAGATATAAGAAAAATGTAAAAGACGCGAGAAAAAGAAAAGTCGAATGCAATGAAATATTGTTCATTTATTTATTTATTTATTATTATTATTATTATTATTATTATTATTATTATTATTATTATTATTATTATTATTATACTGTGAAAACAGTGAGATACATGAAAACAATTTTGCTAGCAATGGTTTATACTGTGGTGTACTTAGAAATACCTTTAGATACTGAATACTGCAGAGTGCTGTATTGTATTTGGAAAGCTCTGAATACGTGAAAGATTTTAGACTTTCCTAGGCTGATTAAATCCTTAATTTTACTGGACCGTCCACTGTCTATTTAAACACTTATTTGAACTTCACACACGCCCTGGCGTTGGTGCCTTGTGACCAGATGGTCAGCTCACTCGCATGACTAGGATGACCAATACTCGGGCAGTATCAAAATAAATAGAAAATGATAAAGAAAACAGAGAGAGAGAGAGAGAGAGAGATCAATAGGAGGATAAAAAAGGAAAAAAGCACAGACACTAACTCACCAACCAAGCACTAGCAACAGATACAGGTAAACAGCGTTCATCTTCTATCTTTTTCACGGAGAACAACTCACGTCTGCCGCCTCTGCAAGACGGGTGAATTGTGCGTATTAAAATAATAATAATACAGCGAATAAAATACACCGAAAATCTATTCGTTATCCATGATGGGGAACTTATCTGCAATAGTGCAGAACAGCACGCATCATCTATAATTATAGGTCTTAGGTCCGTGCCACGTCGCCTGCAACCAAAAAGGGTAAATGAATTTGATTTTTTTTTTCCTTTTGTTTTGTTTTGTTTTTTTGACAGCAATTTTCCTCATTTACTGAACATTTATTCACTAGTTCACAGTCTAGCTAAAACGACTAAACCATATTGCCAGACTGGAGATTATTAGCCCACAGTTTATGATGCGTACATTTGCTCTCAACTTTCTGTGTAAAGATCAAATTTGTGTAAAGAGCGAGATAAGGGATACAAATAACACTCTTTATTTCTTAAGAGCAGTAAAAAAAATCTCTAAAGTACCAACTGAAGTGAAAGGTAGAGGTGGGGCCGGACAGGGTTAAAAGTGGACCGGTTTCGGTCCATAGTTTACTCTTCTCCTCCTGACATACACTTTGAGGTATTTAGGGTACATTCATGAGACAGGACTAAATTTGACGATCTTATATGAAACTTGTCTGAACAGTTGACGTCTGCCGTCCCTATTCTAGATCAGTGACAGACGAAACATTGAATGAATTTGAAGAGGTGGATAAAAGTACAATATACTGTAGCTAGGAGGCATTAAGTCATTTCTGTAACAGCAATATAAATCCTAAACCAGAAAAGTAATTATTACAGCGTAACTGGCAGGAGTACTTCAGTGAGTAATCACCTCAATTTCTCGCTTCACGTCTCTCAAATCTGCTCATTTTCATTCCTAAATTTACATCCACCGCTCACGTTATTCACATTTACAACATTCGCAGGCAATCAGTTCAGTAGCAGCTAGCTCTGTTCTTTTTTTTTTCTTATGTTTAAATTTGCTCCGTTGGTTTCTGTAGGATTTCGCTTCCTATCTCATCTTCTCATCGTAGCTTACAGCTCTTTACACTAGTGGTGATTGCATGCCAATTCTTCATGAATTCTTAACTTAAAAAGTAAGCGGTTCACCACAACCCTTTTTTTCCCTGTGTGTGTGCATGTGTGCATGCACATGTGTGCGTGTACAACGATTTTATTTATAGCCTATTATCCATTAATAGTTGCCTTATGGTAGCATGTAAGGCGCTATATAAGAAGCTTATTATTATTATTATTATTATTATTATTACAAGTGTGTGTGTGTGTGAGTGTGCACGCGTGTGTACGTGCGTGTGTGTGTGTGTTTGTGTGTGTATGGGGTCTTAATCTGTTGGTCGAAATTTAAAATAACATGGAATGATGCCTAGCCGTCTCATGTATTAATGCATGTACAACTAACCGTATAGTCTTTACGCCATTAGTGCCCAGTATCAGTATATGCAAACTTTAAAACAGACAGATTTTGTCTCACCGCCTGTAGGGCGCCACAATTTCATTCTACAGATATTCGAAGTTTCTTGCATGGCGGCATTTGACATTAATGATGCAATGGAAATCACAAACAATGAACAACTACAATACCGGCAGATACATACTGGTATTTTAAGTAGTCCAGGGTAGACAGACAACAAAGAACATAATGACAGGATGCCGGGGGGGATGAAATAGTCTGTCACTTTCTTCTTTTTTCATTTTCTTTCGAGCAACTGAGGTCAGTTTTCAGAATCCTGCTTCTGCCCTTGCAACCTGTTCTATACAAAACAGGACACCAGAGTATTGACGGTTACCGAGCATGGGACATAAATTACGACATTCGTCGCCAGAGGACCAGACAAAGATGCAAATTTTAAGTACTCCGTATATCATTTCAGTGATACAGGTCTGTCTAAATGTGCAATCAGCATTCATTGTACGTAATCCTGGGCGCCTGGATTAAAATAATATATGAAGCGAGCGTGGATTTCCAGTTACTTCTAGGCCCCTACTAGTTTCTTATACACCTAAAATAAAGTCGACAGGCCAAGTTTTAGACCAAATTAATCTCTTGTTCAGCCAAAAAAAAGTTTTAAAAACTGCATTTTCTTCAAAAATTTGGTCGTAAATTGATCTCCATGTATTTATCTGTCCCTCCAGTTCATAAAGGTCCGCTAATTGACTTTGTGCATAATCCCTACTCTGACTCCGATCCCATTTAAGGATGTATATAGCTGCGTGCGCAACTGCATACTTCGTGCAATGGATGTGATCTCAACTACCACAATTCAGCAATGCAGGGTTCTTGGCGGAGGTGTGCGCTCTCTAAGTGCTTTTCTAGTCATGATTATTTCATTTTAAAAAATAAATAGTACATAAATTACATAAACTTCCTCAAGGAAGCGTTTATTAGCGGTTTTAGTAATTTGTAAAAATTCGCTGATATTATAATACTGTTCAACTATTATGAAATAATATTAGACTATATTTTTTAATAAATTTGTAGAACAAGGCGTGAAAACTTGCTAAGTTGTGTATGTGTTTGTGTTCTGGGACACGGGAAAATACAGTCTAATGCACTTTGATAAGAATGCTATTGAAGGGTTTGCCCAAGGTTGAGTGCCTCTCTCTAAGCACGTGTACCGTAGATACACCATACATGTATATACGATGTTGAAAGAGGTTACACTTGCCACGCACTGACTGAAAAAACAGTCTGATGGCTGCCCAGTGTTTATTTCTAAATGAGATTATCTTGTTTAAGTAGAAACACACCAAGGACAGCAAAAGTGAGTAATATGCCGCCACCCACACCAGGGCTTGTCTTGGCCGCGCTGCTGACCGTAGCAGATATCCAGTCATCAATTTGCTGTTCTAGCAAATGAAGTGGCACCGCTCCGATTGAGAGGACCTGGTGGTGGTACTCTTTGATGTCAAATTTAGACCCTTCAAGGAAAGAATGGGGACATTAGAGTTTTGCAGAAACTACAAACAGTAAGTCATTCACATGTATATGTTAACGATTAAGCCTACAAAGACACAAACTGGCAATTTTTCAACTATAGGCCCTTTGAGCGGTACCCCTGAAAATGCATGCAGACATCTTATTAAGACTAAGACAATTAAAGTTAAATATTATTTATTCCCAAGAGCTTAACATAACCACTGTGTCTGAATTAATACCGGTACCTAGTGCTTTTTCAGCACGGCGCCGCAGCTCTTTCAGTTTCATTTCGCCGATCTTGTACGCGCATGCCTGGCCGGGCCACGTGATGTAGCGATCGATCTCTATGGCGGCCGCTTCTAAGGACATCTCGGTGTAGTTGGCCAAATACTGGATGGCCCGGTCGCGACTCCAACTAGAAGGTAAAATAAATGACAGTACCAATCATGTAAATTGTCTGATGAACTTGTTACCTAACATATTCTTTTCACTCTAAACCTAATTCTGGATTAAATTAATAACTTTTTACATAACATATTCTCTTCACTCTAAATCCAATTCTGTGTTCAATTTATTTTACCAATTTCGCAAATTGTCTGAGGTAGGTTACTTTAAATCTAGTAGAGAACACTAGGATGCCGTTACATTTTACACAATTAAGGGAGTTGTGCACTTTGGCGTCAGCATATTGATCATTTTACACCAGGTCGACGTTTGTACTGGTAGTTGGGGTGTGTGTGTGTGTGTGTGTATGTGTGTGTGTGTGTGTGAGAGAGAGAGAGAGAGAGAGAGAGAGAGAGAGAGAGAGAGGCCGATACCCCATGACATGGAGACCAGTATCCACCACAAGACGCACCGCTCTGAAGATTTCATAGGAGTAGCGACCAATCCTGTTTGACGAAATGATATGTTATGAATTGTGATAAAAGCATAGAATGTAAAAAAAGTGTAATATATCATAAATTCAATAGCTGTTCTATTATTCCTATTATCAACGTATTCATTTGTCTTAAATTGAAAAAAAAAAGAAAGGATAATGTTCCAATGCCTGTATCATTTTTTCTGATTCATACAAAGACTGGTACTTAAAACTGATCTAGAGATTGGCTTACATTTCGTTGTTATCCTTATATGCGCCCATCTCCTCTCCCAGGTACTCTGCATAGAGACCCCAGCCCTGATGGAGAATATACAATCATCAACGTACTCTGCATTGCCTTGTTTGGATTTAACAAAAACAGAGGCGCCCTTGGAATGACATTGGCGCCCCATACAACTAATCTGTCGCACAGGGGATTTTTACTGAGGCGCCAATATATCGTTCTAAGGGTGTTATACATGTAGTTTCTTTATCAAACGCCTGAATGCAAATGCGTGATTTTTTTTTTTTTTTTTTTTTTTTTTTGTTTTGTTTTGTTTTGTTTTTCATCAATGTGTGTGTGTGTGTATTTCGGTATGCGCCTGACGTAACTGATATAGAGAGTAACATGACTGACGCATGGGTTTGGCAAGTATATTTACAAAACAACAAAAACCAAAAGCAAATAATCGGCATGGACAGAGAATACAATGTATATCCGTATCTTCGTGTGTAATGCACAGTGGTATCAAAAAACTACTTACCTCGCTATATGCTGTGTAGAAGGGAAAGTTAAAGGGAGCTCGGCTGTACACGTCAATTAATGGGTTTCGGCGGAACTTGGGCAAATCCTTGTTAGCAACTAATGCGTAACTCATCTAAAACAAAGATGATTTAAAGGTTCCCACCTGTACTTGCAGTAAGAGAGGGAAGGTAGAGAGTTGTATACATTTGCTGTAATGCATAAGTATATTACTACCACCAGTTTCTTAAGCAACCCCAATAAAATCCACATGGCAAAAATTACGCATATTAATTACTCTTATCCTAAGTTATCTCCGTGTTCACTTTCTGATCTAATAAACAGTTATGACGTCACACTTACTGCCTGTGACGTCACAATTCCGTGGACTGAGATGTCAGTGATTACATGCATTAAACACTAGAGTACCTGCATATGGTGTCCCGGGTTCCCCTCGTGCAATGAAAGCGCCATGAACCCCAGCTTCAGCCTGCAGAGAGAAATACACTGTATACTTAATAAGAATTGTCAGTAGTTGCAGGACACAGTACACTAGTATAGAAATCAACATTGAAATTGAACATAGTGGTATCTTCAAGATGAAGGCTAGACTCCATTGGGCACAATACGTGCCCCTGCAGCTGGTATGATTCAGAAAATCACCAATTGCGCGCGCGCGTGTGTGCGAGATATGATACATCAATATCTTACATCGTATAGATCTGCCCAGTCAAAACTTATATGATATGTAACTCAAGTCGTGCATTTGTACTGGTACAACAAGCTCAGATGATAGGCAGATTTGACACATGTGCGCAGCCAGCTGTATAGTCAGTGTATAGTTAAAATTAAACAAATATAAAAAAAGTGTACTTAATGTAAATTTCTTCGTTTTCATGGCATAATCATTCGCCTTATTACTCACTTTGTTTTGGGGTTGAACAAGTTCACCATGTAAATACCGGGCTTGCCAGCCTCGTTTCCGTTGAAATAATACGCAGCTGGCCCGTTGGACGGCATGGGGCGTATTCTGATAATATATACATCAAGAGAGTTACAATATAAAGCAACCTTTGCCACATACATAATGGCAAACTTGCGAGTCTTTTTGGTGCGTTATAAAAGAAGGAAACGCTATATTAATTAAACGCTGAGTTTTCACTGAGTTAATTTTTCCGCCTAAAACCATTAATTTAACATGTACTAGTACAGTACATGCATCACAACAGTGACTGTTCGCAACTCACTCGAGTTTGATTCCAGGGTCTATCTTGAAGAGGTCTTTTAGTTTTGGCTGAATTCTGTTTTCCACTATGTCTTCCACAAAAGCTAACAATTCCTCCTAAATAAAAGACAGAGTAAGACCCCATTCCCACAGATTTTAGATCGATCTATCCCCGTGGGGACTCTCACTAGATTACTGTCAGCTTAGCCGGTTTAAAGGTCTGTCCCGCCTTCTAAAAGCTGTAAGGGGGTAATTAACTTCCGTGCGCTGTCCGCTGACAGCAATTTAGCGTGAACTCCCAGGGAGTTAGGTCTATCTAGTTGGATCGATCTAAATCTCTGGGAATGCGCTCTTATTCTGAGTTTCCTAGCCAGTGCGGGCCCGATTATTCATTTCCAAATATCGATACTTGACTGCAGCCCTTATATGGAGCCACGGATTCCGTAAACGTCTGTCAAACTTCCCGCTCAATGACGTCAGAGTGATTATCTTGCACGTATGGAGATTTGAAAATGAAGAACGGGACAATGAACGGACATGAAATTCAAGATAAATATGTGGATGTTCTCAACCGTCTCCGCAAAGCGCATAATGTTTTTAATTACTTCCTCAGTAAGTATAAAATCACCAATATGTGCTGTCAAATAGAAATTTAACAGTATGTACTAAAACAGTGCATGAGGAAAGATAATCGTACACTAATCTAAAAAACGATAGATATAGTAGATCCAAAAGGTATATATATATACTTACTGAAGTGTTGAAGTAAAAGTCTGGATTCTGCCCTAGGCTTAAAATATATTCTCGGATAGTGCCATTAAAACCATTTTCTTTGATTATCTGAAAATATCAACAGTTCTTTGGTTTCAACATTTGTACATCACTTGTTCTTCCCTGCTGTCTCGTCACAATATACATTGCTTCCATCTCTTACAATTGCTGAAATAGTAATGAACATCATAGATTACAGAAAAATAATAAAATAATTAAGAAACAAACAAAAAGACAGACAAACAAACATAAAAATAAATAAATGAATGAATGAATAAATAAATAAATAAATAAATACAGAACGAACGAACAACCAAAAAAAAATAGATAAATAAATAATCAGGCAATATCAATGGAATTTTATAAACTTACCTCCATCATGAGTGCAGAAATCCGCTCCACCTCCTCAAGTCCTTGCTTGTGAATTTCCTGCGGGGTCTGATTAGTCGATATGTAAAACTTCAAAGCGGCCTCATAATAAGCTGTGCCATTATCGAGTGAACCTACTCCATAGCCCTGCCTCGTATTGGGCAGATATTCCTGCAGCATAAACAATGCTCGAGTTATATCAAAATGATTCATGTCAAATCACCGTATAGATCTTAAAGGAGTAAATGAGTTATAATACTGATGCATCTATGAAGATCTACTATAAAGACATAACATATTACATATAACATCTTTATAGTAGATCTTCATAAGTGCATCAGTATTATAAATTATTATATAAAAATGATATAACTTTTTCCTAAAAAAACACCAGCGTAGATCATTGTGCCGCGTGCCGCGATATGATATTGCGCTGGTACCGGATTTTTTCTACCAGTGGTCATTTAACTTATATGGGTAACGAATTCAGAATAACTATATAACCTGAGTGAGCGATTAATTCATATTAGCTGACCGGTACCTATATGTAGATGATAAAGTCAGATTTGCTTACCTACGTGATAAATAATTCACATTAGCTTACCTGGGTGATGACTTCACATTAACTTACCTGGGAGATAAAGTCGGACAGGTTTCGAAAAGCAGGGACCACCATTGTCCCAATGATGTCCTCAGCATCTCTGCGCAGGCGTAACCTTCGTGCAAAAGCAGACCACATTTTACCGGTACATACACGTAAATCATTGCTTGCCCTACACAAACTATTTAGTGAACATTTTGTAACGGGGAATATCAAATCAAAAACAAGATCTAAAAGAACATATTAAGCTGAATTATCACTGTATGATATAAAGTAATAGGTATATGCTAGGACTAAAATGACAGATTACGTTATGAAGCTATGCACATTTACAGTTACATGTATTTGTATAACAATAAACCCATCAGTGTCAAAACAATTTTACTTTGTGGCGTCTGAAATATTATGTGCGTCGTTTAATCTGCCTTGGAAAGGTTTGAAGAATGTTGAGTTTTGGGTCGGAACATCTATTATTTGACTGGTGATTTCGTCGGGCACGCGATTCTGAAATAAGCAGGTTTGACATTAAATGAACAACAAAAATGAGAGTCAAGAATTTTAAAATTGTTTCAATGCATCTTTGTATCTTTGGTGGCAAGAGAAAATCTTCTAAATGTTCCAACTTATGGACTCATGTTATCTACCAGGCACTTACCATAGACGCACGGTGATTAGTTCTGCCCAAACGAATGGCCTCCTTCATGAGTGTTATCGTTTCACCAATCTGAAAATGTATTTGCATTGCACAGTAAACATAATTTTTTTTAATTTACACAGAAACCGAAGAGCTACAAAGAAAGAAAGCAAAAATACATGTACAATATAACCCGATATAAATTTTAATTGGATTCTTTTGTGGAAGAAATCAGCAAATTTTATCATTTAATCATATTTTTATTTTACACAAATTTCCCATGCAAAACAAACCTGTCTGACGAGCGCTTTCAATCTGTTTAGAAAATCTTGGAAGTCGGTTTCCGTGTTGAAAGGTGTGCTGTCTATTAGAACACCCCAGTGCTTGTGAGGGCCCTCGAGGAAGTTGACAGGGGTTAGGGACCCATACCTGAAAAAAAACGCCAGTGATTAAGGACAGTTTGAGTCTACTAAAAGAAAAAATATTTAACTAATTTTACACAGACACGTTGAGAATTAAGTATTCATGTTTAGGTATCACTGCGTAGCTCCATAATGAGCTACGATCACCAGAATACGTAATGCTTTTCCGACTATTTTTATTACTTTACTTGTCTGACACCAATTTAACATACATGACAGGAGTTCTTTCTTTGTGCACACCTTTGGAATTAAAAATACCTGAGCAGGGCAAGCGATTGTGTTACTCAACACGCAAGCAAGGACTATGAAACAAATTTAGACAGAAAAAGAACAATCTGAGGAAACGGTTCTTCCAATTTATCAACAATATTCTGGTGGTTCCAATTTAACTTCATTTCTTCCGAGTCTTCTGAGAATGAACGAAAGTTGCTTTTTCTTTTAGTGTGTAGGGTGTGAACGCATGCATGGGCACAAGGAATGTTTTCAGGACTCAAGTATCACAAAAGAAAAATTCTGATAAAAATAAAAATACCTAGGAACATTTTTCTATTTTTCTAACCTTAAGCGCCCATAGTAAAAAAAGCATCCTAGTAGGTAGCTGTCAATAAATACAAAGCTTAACTTTTAAATCAAGGGACTCATTGTTGACTGATATGTAACCCAAGGCAAAGACTACTTCAAAATTTAAAAAAATAATAATAATGAACACTACCTGCGCCATTCATATCCGTCTATGAATGTTTTAAAGATGTTCTGCAGCAAGTCATAAGTTACTCTGTCAGAACGGGACAAATCTCTGCGGGTGATAGCTCTCAACCTCCGCTGGAAGTCTTCTGTTTGAGCCTGAAATCATGCAAATAATCCATTTAAGAGCATATCTTTTTATTTCTTTCTCCTTTGGGTGGGTGGTCGGGGTGAACTGAAAATTTACTGTTATTTGCCAATCGATTTGCTTTTTTCACACAAATATATGCATGTAGAATAAACACTGTATCTTGAGAGTGTTTCTATTATTCGGCTTCAAAATGTATCGATAGCTAGTGCATTAGCTGAACAAGAATTATGAGAGTTAACAATGAACTTTGTTGACTTAGGTTATGAGCACGAACTCCACTATGCTGCATCAAACAGATGAACATATAAAAATATATAACCACACAAGCAAGTAAACAAACATCATCATTATGTAACTGTACCTTATCTGCATCAAACTGCGCATGCGTGTAGTTACGTAAATCACCGTTGAAGCTGTAGTCCCCAAGAAAAGTGGCGACAGATGGCTCTATCTTCATTCGAAAGGTCCAGTAATCATTACTCAGAGATTTCAGCCGCTCCCTGGGACTTTCTAAAATTTGTAAAAAAAAATCATTATACCCAACGTCCATTTAACATGACATCTTAAAGCGTTCCTAAGCGGACATTTTCTCTTGATAGGAAAACTGTAAGAAGCGAGTAAGTACACATTACTTTGACTGGCGGGTTTTATCCGTATATTACAATTGAAAAACATCTGTGCTAGAACGTCGTGGATATTCTCAAGAATATTCACTTTCTTGGCAGTTATACAACCAATGATAGCCTTCCTCTTTTCTGGGACAATTTCTTAAAATGATCAAACAGGGTGAAAGAGTATGTTGTTTTTATCAGCAATAACAGGTTACCAATATCCGCTTACTGTCCCCAAAAAGGCCTTCATGTAAATAACTAACATGTACACAACTCTACACACCTTAGTTCTTCCCAGTGCGAGGAACCCACATGTTGAACAATGCACACAATGAACCATAGTAAACAAATAGTAGAATGTCCTAGATAGGCCCCATTCACAAACAAAGTGGATCCACAGACTAACAGATCGGCGGATCAAATATGGCCAATCCACTTGAAAGCTTACCGCGTAATCCCCGCGGGAATCTATTCAGTGTCTATTTGGGGGTTCAGCGGCAAGCATTCAAGTGGGTCAAGTATATTTGATCCACGGATCTGTTAGTCCGCGGAACAATTCGTTCTGAATGCGGCATTAATTACTGCGGCTGCCTATAAGATAAACCTTTAGAACCTCCAAGAAAAATTAAACCCAGATGTTCACCCTATATGTATACGATATCCATGCAGTATTACATAGCACAAAAATCACCCATTCAAAATAAATAGGTGAGATTCAGCGGCCAGTGTGCTACTTCATTGCGTGCCAGCCCATTCATCCCCTTCCAACTGCCCAGCAAAACATAGAACAATGCCATAACGTTACCATAACATATTTTAATTATATAATCGTTATGGTAACGTTATAATAACGTTATGCGTTTGCCGCGCTGTCTGACGCTCAATTACCACTGATATTTTTTAGAAAGAAATGTCCCCGGTGAAGTCTATAAAACCTCTATAAATGCTATGAAATATTACGCCATTAATTCACAGGTAAGCAAGCAACGTACCTGCTGTTACTTGTGACGCCAAGCAAACCACATAAACTCCTAGCAGAAACATCTTCAGAAGTGACCAGGAACTAGTGTCCGGTACGACTACCAACAGTCTACTGTATTGGAACTATATATATGTATTTTTCCGTGTCAAGGTGCGCCTTGAAATAACATGTAAAGAAAGTTGTAAATACGGCAGCTCTAGATCCGTGACCGCCAATCCTGTCTCCTTTATTTACGGCACTCGGTCATACATTTACTACCCTACACACGAGGTAAAGCTTCGCTTATTTCCCTGTTATGGATCATGGTCTGTCACTCTGTGAACTATGTCCATGTTTTATATAATATATCTCTGCCCTGGAAGCCTATTTTAATAAAGTCGTATAGCGTCGGCAGACAGAACAATCTGAGCTCAAACGGCATTCCAACACGTCTTGGCGGTGACCTTAGCTTGTTTTTGCAATTCGCTTCTTAATTTAAGGGATTGTTTTCTAGCACCCCGTGACCCAGTTTTTTTTATGTGTTTTCTTACCTTTTGTGGTTTTCATCGTTAAATAGAGTCAAGTGTGATGGAGTTGGAGTTCATGTAAGGTGCGCTCGTAAAGTCCGAAAAAGACAACTAGTGTAACGTGAACTGGGTGTAAACTTGAAAGGTATATCGTGTGTCCCGAGTTACAAATATTTATGTTGAAGATTGATGTCAATTCACCGTATAGATCTTAAGTAAAAAAAAAAGTATTAAACCCGAAAAAGGCCTAGGGGCCGAAAGCTTGGATTATATATGACATCTGTCAAGTAGATCTTCAGAGATGCATCAGTAATAATACAAATTATATTTATCGTAACGTAATACACTTTAGTAATAACGTCTTTGTAACATGTTCACATTGAAAGTGCGAATACGGAACTAGAAGTTGTGAATCGTTCTGCTCATTTGCCCTCTTGCAATCTAGCTGTGAACGAGGATCGGAACCCCTAAAGCCCTGGCTAGTCCCTTGTAGACGCGGCAGGGGCCGAGATGCCCCCAGCGGCGTGTTGCATAATGCATAGAGAGCAGTTGTTGGTTATTATTGTACTCGGTAATACATTCTGGGTGTTTATATTGTGCACACATGTCAGACAGGTATAATGTAAATGGTGGAAGAAGGCTTGGTAGTAGGGGTAAAGGGGCGATTAAAGGCGGGATAGAGTCGAGGAAAAAGGGCGGAAAAGGTATGGGTAGAGGGGGAAAAGGGCGGAAAAGGAAGGACAGATGCGAGGACTGAGGATAGCAGTGCGAGAATCTTTCTCATGTACGACCCCTATTAATACAGTGGTTTAAACTATACTTCAACTTATTGGGCAATGCACAATAGGCCTATACAGGGAATTTGCATGTGCGTTGAGTTAGACGCGAGAGCGTATATTGTGTTAGGTGAGAGAGCATATAGATTGTGTTACGCACTGTCACAGCTCAGTGGAGTGATGAAGTCAAGGTTGGGCAGAAATTATCCCACCCCAAAACGTGCAACTATCAAATTGCCAGAAAAAAAAAACATCAGTACAAATCTAAAAAGGGTACGAGAGAAAAGGGTACGATTGTCTTAGATGCGAGGTACTATGGGGCCTACAATAGTTTGTTTCCTAAGGATTTTACTGGGGTTATAGATAGAACACAGCGAAGTGAAATTCTCATTGGTGTGAACATCACAATCATGGATGTGTTCCTCTTACACCTGCGTTTCCTATGTTTTGAATGGTTGTAAAGTTAGCATTCAAGGTTTGTAGTTTGTGAAATGATTCACTGGCTTTCGCTTGGTCTAAAAACTACTGCAGATTAGTCACGCTCATGTGTTTTAATTATAGGTTAAACTCTTGTCTGCTTACTTTAAGAAAAATCTTTTCGACGTGCTGAAACTAACCGAACGTTTTATGTTCTTCTTGTGATAGGATTTTTTTCCGGAATATAAGCACATACAATCACCATCGGTGAAAAGAAGGAACACTACCTAAATGTGACAAAAATCAATAAACACATAAATACTGTAATATACATGTAAAAAGTGCCAAAAAGACGATCGAAGGAGATAAACCCAAAAGCATTTATAGCTAGACATTGGACTTGTATAATGCAAATTAAAGGGCTTGCTTTTATATAAAACACATTCCATCTCCGTGTAGTATTTCTTCTAGCTTTTTACCTGGTGCACGTGCCACATAGCTTTCATGTGGAGAGGTAAGGAAGTGGTTTATCAAAGGTTAAATGCTATCGCCGGGAATAACAACATCAACAGCTGATTTATTTTTGCCATAGATTAAGTATCACGAAAAAATAAACAGGGTGTATCCAGGTTTATTCAGAGTGATGGTATTGACAAGGTAATACTCATACGTCAGATACATGTACGTGTATTTGCAAGAAAGTTAAATATGCTAAATTATAACATGGTTAGAAAATTCTCTTACTATTTATCACACCACTGATGTTTCTGTAAAATTACTAATGCCTCCATCGTTCTTATAAATTAAAAATCAAGTTATTTTCGCGATAAAATTTATGTTAAACGTTGCACATAAGCCTCTCGATCTGTATTACATGTAGCTACTTCTTTGCGCTGTAACTGTGCAAACGCTCCGTCCGTAATTCTGGCAGCCGACTGCGTTGCCTCTCTCATCCATTGCTGCCGCCTCTCATGTTTCAAGGTGGGCCGTGATGTGTACGAGCTTACCGTATATGGCAATGCGGATCAAACAGAGGCAGCTGACGAGCAGCATGGAAACCGTCGCCTGCCTCAAGAGGGGTTTGGTACGTGCTTTTTCAAACCAATGACGAGTGCTATAAATCTCATTTTGCCGAGTTTTTGCGATGATTAAATTCTCGTAAAGGACAATAATTTGGAACTGCGTGTAGGCCGGCAAAGTGATGACGTCAAATGGCATGACCTTTACAGAAAAGCTCCCGTCCAAAAATAGTCGACATACCTGCAGCATTAGTTCTTGGCTATGGATTGCATTCAGGTTCGAAGTGGAGCTCTGAACTGAAAGCTGTTCTAAATATTCCGCCATATTTACCACTCTGAGTGCAATATTAAGCTTTATTACCAAGGACCAGACGTGTACAGATTTCATATTTGAGAGAGGATCCGTCCCGCGCTAACTCCATTTACCCACCTGGAGGCAGTCATTAAAACATCAGAGGATTAACAGGACTGGGCCTCGTATCAGGTAATTCTCTCGGACGTCCCTGATAGCTTTTAAAGACGCTGGACTCAGAATTAACTCTCTTTTATAGAGAAAAATGAGCTCCCAGGACGAAGAGGAGGGGGCTTGCTCTGAGTATGTGCCACACGCGTGGAAAAAGGGGGTGTGTAACATCTGCTTCAAACCTGAGAGCGAACACGAGCCGGCAGAGCCAGCAGAGCCAGCGCCCGTTCAGGTGGAAGTGAAAGCAAAGGAGGACAAGAAAAAGAAAACCGAAGCGGTCACTCCAAAGAAGAAATTTCAGGTAAACAGAGACTTAATTCCAGAGAAAAAGAGTCCGTGGGGTGACCCTCTAAAAAAGAAAAACGGCAAAGCAAAGCATGAGGACACACAAAAAGCCAATGGGGAGGCTGCTAAAGCAAAGGAAAAGATACAGGAAGTAACTCAACCCGAACCGGAACCGGAACCAGAATCAGATCAGCCGAAGGCGTGTGAAAAATTCGAGCCTAGCGCCTGGAAAAAGAACGTGTGTAGAAACTGTTTTATGACACCTGAGGAACATGCCCCGGATCCGGAAGAGGAGCCCGCGCCTGCGCAGACCACTCCTCAAAAAGACAAAGGTAGCAAAAACACAGGCAAAACTTCCAGAGGAGGGAAAACTGAAGGAACCAAAAAGACTGACGAAAACGCTGAGCCGCCAAGGCAACGGAAGGGCGTTCCGTTGTGGAGATTACTGAAGTGATATAAGTATCACCTCCTAACTGTGATATAAGTTTTTTGCGCCGATCTTATACAGTATTGCTGTTGGACCATCCATTACTGCCTACAGGTACCATATCAAACACCTGGCCTACTAATACAACGTACTGCTGACTGTGTTTTACCCCCGATCTTTCAGGCTAAGAGCCCGCAAGCTTAAGTCTAAGATAGCTCATAGACGAACATATGCTGACAAATTTGACACATAAAATTTTAAAACTAACGAGTAAGAGAAAAAAGGAGAGATAGGGAGAGCATACTGGAAATGAGAAGTCTCCTCAGGTTAAAGTGTTTCAGAAAACGTTTAAGTCTTAGCCTACACTTGTGCCGTACGTATGAATCTGGCAACACGGCATCTTTCAAATGAAACAATGGTTATACGCGTAGAACCTTGATGGGATCGCCACAAGTATTGACTTTTATTTTACTAAGTGAGAAAGTGCTTCATATGCACCTACACCTGTATATACCAATGGTGTGTGCATCAGAACATTGTATAGGCATCTAGCTTTTTACAGTCCCAGCATCATGGGCATTCTCGTGAATTGTAAACGGTGTCAACCATAAAAATATAATACCCATCATGACTATACTTATTCTTCGTTGACGACGCAACCATTTGTTGAGCATCGAACAGCAGCAACGTGGGATTACACAAGGCGCCACGTGAAATCCTGGAAATCTCAGTCACCATGTGAAACATCGAGTTACAAACTGCCTTGAAATATTGAATTATACTACGAAAAATTTAAAGCAGAATTATACCTATATATACGTGTTATAAAAGCTGTAACTTAAATGTTGCATTTGTCTTTACGTCTTCTTTGCTCTCCGAAGTAAACAAGAGGACAGTATTATCCGTGCCTACTTTATGTAATAAAATATTAAAACTGCCTGGTTATAATAAAAGGGAACCTGCGTCAGGTTCATACGTGTGCTATAATTTGCGTCCGCTTTGCCACGTACTATATATACACATATACCAAGCTCTTTTGAATCTTTCCATAGCAGGATGGTATCCTTATCCCTTCATTCAGCTAGTGCAAAGAGTGCGGTATTTTCGTTCTCGACACGAACGTTTGTGGATACCCTCTAGCTACTTAAAGCATTTGGGTCTGTAGCATTTGGCATGCATGTCATCAAACACAAGGCAAACTCGATTCACTACATGTATAACATACAGTGAAAAGACGCAGAATAAATGGTCCAGACTTTTACCCAAGGTTGAGTGGGGGAACATGATATAGTGTAGAAAATAACAGTTGCGCAGTTGCATGTTTATGCAGAGTCTCACGCGAAAACAAGATCTCAGTGGTTGGTTTTCTTTTTTTCTAGGTCTTGCATTTTCTTCTAACAGCCGGCGCCTGATCAAGTGACCGTAGAACTGTCTTTAATGTGTTAGATGTGAAATAAATCGCGTCTGAATGTGCCTCTAGCGCAATTTCTATTGCAGTGCATTCCTTTTACATATCCCCTCGCTGACTAATGTTTTCTTTTTTCATGCTCACCACCATTGGAATTTGTTTTGTTAATCTCAGTGGCAAGCACAAACAATAGAAAAATGTTTCAAAAGATTTCCTCCGAGGGCATTCTAGGCTTTAAGTTAAATTACCCAACTAGGCACAGATGCAGTGATGATGATTAGAACAATAATGAAATGACAAAAAACATTTAGAAAGTTGATTTCCTTTCAAAACTTTTATTTTGCAGATTATTGAAAAATATGGGAATGATTCTCAAATTGATTCATTAATCAACTTTCTTCGCGCTGAGTCTAGGTCATTTGCAAGCTTATCCCTTCGTTTTGTGTCTTCGTTATTCGATCAAAACGTTGTCACTTTTCTAGTTTTTTGCTTTTCTGGCAAATGGCAAACAATTGTTTAGAAATTCCCTTACAAACCTCGACAGAGCTGCACCCTGAAGTAATATGCCATGCTCTGTCTGTTGTCGCTAAGTTGTGAATCGTCTATAAGACAAATATATTGAGTCAGTCACTGTACATGTATATCTTCAGTCTAGCAGTCCAACTGATCTCAACCTCTATACCTATAACTTATTACATTCAAAAATGGCTTTATTATAGATAACCTCTGTACAACACACAGGCACACAAGCTGCAGTCTATGCAACAAGAGGTAGCGCAGGGGTACTCTATATAAAACACATTTTGCTCTTATGGACCTATCACCAGAAAAGTTGGTAACTGGTTATGAGGTTAATGTCACATTACACTGCACTCACTTGTCTATCACGCGTATAAACTCTCACCGTACTTGGCAAAAAAAATGCCCTATACATGTACCACAAGTACATGTACAAACAGGTGCAGGGTTATATACACAGTGTATTTTCCCACTGTCTGCCAAATTTCGCAGCAATCTCAAAACTGGCTTCGTGACTCCATAAATTGGTCCGTTTCAGAGTGCAGTGCCATCTACTAGACGCGGGTAGAATAAGGACTCTTAGACTGACGTCATGTATATAGAAGACTCTTAGATTGTCGTCATGTAGAATTAGGACACAGACACTGACGTCATCCAGAACGAGGAGAGACTGTCACGTTGATAGCGGCAAACTAGAGTAGCACGTGCATTCTTGATAGTACTGGTGTATTCATGTTACAGCTTAATTCCTTTAGCTAGAAATCTTGAATTATGGATATACTACATTTACTGCAAATGAAATCAATCAACTTCGTGTTCTCCCCAAGGGAAGAGAGCTATTCTATTATTCATCGCAATATTCTCGGCTTTCATGTACCGTTTTACGAATGAGGGAGGGGGCGGGGGGGGGGGGGGCAAAGAAACGTGCCGATATTCGTACCTGTAATTTAATTATTTTTTTCGTTTGTTCAACAGATGCATAACACCACTCTCGTGTCACCTGTTTTTGTCTTTTTGTTTTTAATTTTATATCACGCAAATACAAGACTTGTGTTGTAGGTTGTTCATTTTTATTAAGCCAGTGGCCCGTGTATGACTTCCTCATCTTAAAAAACTACTTAATTGCTATCCTCTGCACCTTCATCTTCCGGCATATATTTCACAAAAAAATCTTATTTCATCTCATAGAAAGGCGGTGTACGTAAAGAGCCAGCTAGCGTTCCTTTCGCATAATTAAATGTCATTACGCACGCAGATGATGGACGTTGCGGACACAATAGTTGGACTGACCACATCATTGAAACTCCACATACAATTAAGTAAAAGTCCGCGCGCTCTTATTTCCCATTGACGGAAATTGAACTGAGGAATATAAAACACTGCTGCGGTTGAGATTTCTTCATATTTTGTAATTCTTAGTCACTCCTCCTCTGAGATTGTTCCTTGTGCGTTCTTTACCTGTATGAATCGTCTGCCGCTTTCTTTCACCATCGTCTGCTATCATGTTACTCCACGGCGCGTTCCCTATATGGCCAGGGCGGCTAATCTTCTGGCCCGCTTTCATGTTTACTTAGGAGGAGGGATTTTTATACTGTTCAATGTGGTGAGCAATATTGTTGGTGCTGCAAGGCCTATTTCTAGGAATTATTCCCGCGGAGCTGGCTGTCGCGTAGCGGGTCTACCCACCTGTAACGGAGAAAAACACAATCTTTTTATATATGAACTTTCTCCACACCATCTGTGACCTGTTGGCTGCGTACGCTCCCAGTGCTGGGAATTCGCGTTCTCCGGGGAAACGGAAAGATGACCCAATTCCGTCTGAAACCAAGGTAAAGTTATCTCCACGCGGGCAACGCGCTCTCTGGAAACCCATCAAGTAACGTGTGGTGGAAGGTGGAACGCGGAGAGGGACTGAAAGGTGAAACAGTTTGTCAGAGGGGTCACGGAGTCCAGCGCGAAACAAACGCCGAGGGCACCCGCGAAGCAATGACCCTTAAGATATGTACGGCTTCTACTCAGATGATACTTTTGTAGACGTTTCTACGGCGTGAACGGTGCATGCAATTAATCACCTGCGTGTTATTACAGAAGACGACTTGCCAGGTGCCTTCCAGGCGCCGAATCCGCCCATTTCTCATTTATGAAACTGCATACACATAGGAACGCGAATCACAGACAAATTATAAACTAAAAAGGGGGAGGGAGCAAACTAAATAAAACATTTCAAACCCCCCACAGTTTCCTTGTGATAAAAAGAAAGCACTGAGTGACCAATGCCTTATTACCACCCCCATACCCAGCTGCCGTGACCTCCAAAACAAGAAAGCACGGGGGATATCACGTTACATATAGCAGCTTCAGCGTCAGGTGCCGCGGGAAGGTGTATTCCAAGTGTCTGGGATTACAGGCATAGTTTGAGTGAAAGTAACGACCGCGGTGAGAGAGAGCAATGGAGAAGGAGAGGCAACCAAGTGCCCGAGATGTGTTGTAAACCTGTGCACTGGAACGCTCAGGTGGACGCGCAGGCCGCCTTTTCTCACCTGGCCTAGAGAAAACAATGGTCGGCAGGGGAACTATTAAGTTTGCTATCAGCACAGATTCGGCAGCGCGCGGAAAATTCGAGACAGACTCCAAGTGTTGATAATATTGGGCTGATTCACAGTATTTGGCACGGTGAAAAGTGGGAAGGTGCGGGTATATGAGAAAGCCGTTACGCATAAGATTGAAATAGTCCAGAGGATAAAGATGTACACTCGCTAAGCCTCACCCATAAGCACGGATTTGCCTAATATTCGCTGTTGGATTTAATCATTTTTCTCCAGGAGGCTACGTTTAGGGACGAATCGCTGTAAACTTTAGAAGTATTGGAGGCTGCTTTCCTGTTGTTTTTCGACATTATTTAAGCAGTTTTTTCTTCATTTAAACGTGTACGTGGCTGACCAAGAGCAATTAAATCGGTCAGTGTATGTTAAGTCTCCCATGATAACACGGAAGACAGTGAGATATCCCGGCGCGTAGTGAGACCGTATACATACAAACACACATACACACAAACAGCCGCTGGAATTACTACGATCGATATTGGGAGGCATTTAATAACCGTACGTACGGCTTCGTGATGATGAGTTCATCGGAGGACGAGTTAGAAGACTTTGAGCCGTGCGAGGGTTTCGAGCCGTCAGCGTGGAAGCCACACATCTGCAGAAACTGCTTTTTAACAAAAGAAGAACATGAAAGGCAAGAGGCCGAGAAGCACGCTAAACAACAGCAGGCCGAGGTGGCGGCTGGAAAAGATGGAAAAGCGGCAGATTCGACGAAGGACGTCGGGAAATCAGTTCAGTCTATAGTTCAGAGGAGAGGATTCACGAAGCTATTGGAAACCGATAAAAAGGATGACTCTAACAAGGACGCTGCGACAACAGCGGGAGACGCTAAGCCAAAGGTGAAAGGGACAGCTGGCGCCGTGGCGGCCCGCTTGGAACGCTTTAAAAAAATCACACCTGACGCAAATAAAGCAGCTGGTGACAAACAGGAAAACGCGACACCTACCGCGGCAACAGGTAAACAAAACGATGTCAAAGATTCAGAGAAATCACATGGAGATTCAGAAGCAGACGACAAAGACGACGGTGATACATCTCCGGGTGAGAGTCCAAAGTCCTTCCGGGACAAGTTAAAACTGTTTCGTGGTATTAATAACGCGCGGACAGGTGAGAGCAGCGTCATGCCAGCAGGAAGTAAAGGATCCGCAGCCACAGGTGTACCAGCAGGTCCCGGTCAATTAATAACTGCGGTCAAAGCAAGCGTTCCAGGAGGTGCTGGAAAAAGTAAACTAGACGCAAAGGGTAAACCTATTTCTGAAACGGAGAGGAAATCTGAGCTGAAGGCACATACCAGTGGATTCACTAAAGATAAATCCTCTGATTCTCCGTCGAAACCACCGCTATCGTCTGCCACTGCTGCGGGTAGGGCAGGTGTCGCAAACACAACATGGCCGTCTCTCGCGCAAAGTGAGGACCGGTCGCCTGGTTCCTCCAGCCTCAAGGAAGGAGGGACGCCTTCTCCCGGGATAGGAAAGAAAAGTCCCGTGGAAGAAGGTGCTTCGAAGGGACTAATTAAGGGAGATAGGTTTCCGGGAGAACTCCCCAGGGGAGGCAAAGTCGAGCGCGTTCCGTCCTTCGGTTTACGTAAATCTTCAAAGGAGAAGACCACACCTGAAACGAAAGCCGTTAACGGCCAGGGTATCTCTAACGGTGCCAAGAAAGCGCCAGATACTAAATCATCGACAACAACAACAACTGAGAAGGATAAAAACGGCAAGAAATTAACCGGTAGCAGTGGTACGAAAACACCCGAGTCTCCCAAGGACACGCTATCAGTGAAACCGTTTGGGCAGCAGTTGCTACGGAAATCTCCCGACAGGTCTTTGGAATCGCCTGTGAAGGGTCGCCCTGCAGCTAAAACGACAGGTCAAGATAAACTGGGCAAGAAATCGCCATCGTCACCAAAAACTGTCCTCGAAAATCAAAAGCAAATTACTAAAACAGAACGGATATCAACCGAAAAGGTACATCATGAAACAAAGGCGGCGGCGTCTCAAACAGATCCCCCGCCACCATCCGACGCTCTTAAGAAGTTGGAGGAAGAAAACAAGACGCTGAAGAAAGACGTTGAAAAGTTTAAGTCTCAATTAAAAATAACAGAAGATTCAAAGAAAAAGATTGAAAAGGAGCGCCAAGTTGCCGACACACAAGCACGAGAAGAGTCTACAAAACAAAAGAAGCTCGTAGAAGACTTACAAAATCAGATCAAACAAGCTGAGGATTCAAAGAAAAAAGCGGAGAAAGAACATCTTGTCACCGTTGGCGAATTGGAGGAGGAAACAAAGCGACTTAAAAAGGAAGGAGAGGAACATCAACGTAAATTGACGGCCGCTGAAGAAGACAAGAAAAAAACAGAGAAGGAAAAGGAAAAACTTTGCGAGTCGTCCCGTGTTTTACAAGATGACAAGCGGAAACTCCAAAAGGAAGTAGACGAGCTACACATTCAGCTAAAATCCGCAGAAATTCAGCTAAAAACATCGGAAAATTCACAGAAAAAGTTACAGGCCGAGAAGGAATCACTCGAAGTGAAAAAACTTAAGAACGAAATATCTGCTCTTACATCGCAACTTAAAACTGCCACAGATGAGGCAAAGAACCGCGCAGAAAAAGAAAAAGAAAGAATTGATAAATCTCTGAAAGAAGCACAAGAAGAAAATAAGAAACACAATCAAGAGGTAATAAAACTAAAACAGCAGCTTAAAGCTGCAACAGATTCTACGAAAAAAGTAGAAGAAGAGCGGTCTAGCGAAAAAGCTAAACACACTAAACAAATTGCTGAATTTCAAAAGGAAATAGACTCCCTTAACGGTCGTATAAAAGCTGCCGAAGAGCTCAGTTCAAATCTGGAAAGGAGTAACAAGGAGCTGACAGAAAAACTACAGGAATTGGAAACGAAGTACAGCGAAATGGCGGCCAAGAATACGGGCAGTGATGGCGACACAGAGGTCAGTAAACTCAGAGAGGAGAACGCCATATTGAAGGAGGAAATGGAGGAGATGAAAATGGAAATGGACGAGATTCACGACCAGTTCCGCGAGGAGGAATCCGTCGAATTACAGGAGTTACAACGTGAACTCGAAATTGCCGCCAAAAATTGCCGCATCCTGCAGTTCAAGCTGCGAAAGTCGGAGCGTAAGAATGACCAGATTGAGGCTGATAAACAGATGTACGAGGAGCGTATACGTTCGTTAGAGAGTCAGTATCAGAGTGCGGAGGATTTACAACACATCCGGGAACTTGAGGAGGAGTTGAACTGTGCGAAGGAAGTTTCAATTCGCCTTAACGAGGAACTTGAGCTGGTTGAGGAGAGACGAACGAGATATGAGGAAGAGAACGAGAAATACCGAGAGCAGATACGAGAATACGCCAACAGGTTGTTGCTGTCAGAAAAAGAAACCAAACGACTAACGCAAGAGGTGAGTACCCGTTTGCCACTTTGTGAATATTTCAGTATTTATTTCTTTTTTTTTAAATTTTATTGCAATTGTTTCGTTTCTAATGAATGACTTCTCATGTTTAAAAAATGTTTAAATCTATATAGAGATTTCATTCCTCTAACCTAATATTCTGCCTCCATCCTGTTAGGTTTAAGCAATGGCGAGATGCCAATAACCTAGGCTAACAGTAAGTTTTCTGAAAAAGTAAAGTTAAACAAGTGTGTGCAATTTGCCAATATCAATCAATTAGACACCGATACAGGAAAAGAGAGCCAACACTGTATTCATACAGAACAAACAGGTTAAAACCATTACACCTTCGTTCTTTATGAATATCCTTCACTGCTCTTTGATATTGGCTAATTTAGGGTATACATTATTTCGTTCAATAACGTCAACTTGAAGAAGCATTAAGGATTGTGCCATTATTTTGTTCCGGTGTGCTCTATTCTGTGTCCAAGCACCGAGTGCCCACTTAAAGAAGCTGATAGCTAGAAATAGTGATTCAACAGACGGTATATTGGACTGGTAAATGTGTACATGTACAGTTACATTACATAGTGAAGAAACAATATGTATTCTAAGCTTGATTCTTCGACCAGTGTTCATATTACCTGTCACCTCCCCCCCCCCCTCCGCCACAAACACATATACATTAGTGTATAGATATGGTTCTAGTTCCAGGTAGATACATACATTATGAGCACAGTACATTATTTATCTTCGATTTAAAGATTGGACGATTGGCAATTTCATGACATCGAGGTTATTCGAATTTTATATATCTAATAAACGTAACGTAACTAACTAACGCACACATTTCCAACAATACGAAGCCAATGTTGAAAATCTTATCAAACCTTCAACTTTCAATGTCTTTAACACTCTGCCTCTCCCTCAATCAATCAATCAATCTCTCTCTCTCTTTAATCGCTCGGGAATAGTCAGGTTTTATTAAAACTGTTAGTTCAACCTCATCATCTTTTCGTAAACACAGTTTCGATCCTGAAACTATTATTCTACCTCGCACGTAAGGAACTCAAGAGTAACATGAGATGGGGAAGGCCAGTTGCTAGTCAGTGGTGATCTCAGCTGTGCTATCCGTAAGACACATTGTTTAGATCCTGAAACTATTGCTATCGTTGTGTTTAAAGTCAATAGGTGTCATTTGAAGAATAAGGCAGAGATCTCAGAATCTTTTAGAATCTCATAGAATCTTAGAATCTTGTCCAGGTATAATAAAGACAAGGACGGACACCTGCATTGTTCCAACCTCTTGTAAGCTCCTTTATCTCACGGTCACAGCTAGCTTCATATTAATCTCTCTTCAAATGACAATGACAGTTGCAATATTGATGCCGTGTCCGTAGGCTTGTTATCATTGTACGAAGTCACACTCAAAAGCATTTGAGTTCAGTATCAGATAAATTGGAAGTGAAATGACGTGAAGTCGGTCACAGTATATCTTAATATCAATGCTTTCGCAAATTGATTTGCTCAGGAACCAAGTGACAAATGGCCATTAATGCAATGTTTCGAAACCTGCTCTCATTGCACGTCTCGAAACTGTGTCTTTGTTACTGCACACCAAACCCCCTCAGGCGTGTGAAGTTTATTATTATACACTGATATTACGTGTAGTGGGTGGGGATCCACCTGAGAGCTTGAAAACTCACATTAATCTAGGATCCAATACACTGGGTCCTAGTATAAATATAGACTTGGTCTTGATTGGCCGCAGGAAGTATGGTTACACTGTGTGTTCCTCACTTATGTTTAGCATCGCGGAACCCGATTTGAGACTAATGATAGATCGTTGGAGATACCTGGCGTTGTGCAACACGTATTTACAAAACCCCAAAAGGCGAGAGCTATTCCCGGGACTCGTGAACTTTTGAAAGGCACAATGCACTGACGTTGCTCCGTGTGTTTCAGAAATGGATTATTTGGCTTTTATGCCGATATCATTCAGGAAGTAATCAGCTAATACGTTTTTACAGTATAACCGCACTCTCAATGTGTGTGTGTTTGTTTGTGTGTGTGAGAGAGAGAGAGAGAGAGAGATGAGTGTCAGTGTTTATGCACGTAAATACAGTAATATCAGTACCAAGCTTTGATGCCTATCGGTCATTTAATATCGATTTTTATAGCGGTTACTCTTGGTTAATGTACGTTATAGCCACACTGAACTGAACGCTTAAGTGGGCAGCTAAGTGCTGTATAAAAGCTTCGAAACGGAGTTGTCCTTTTACTCGATCATGGTAAAATATTTGTTGTCACATATTGGAGGATGGAATCGCTTCTCATGCCTAGGGTTCATGCACTTTATTTTGATGTAATCCGAAAGGATACTATGCGAATTTCAAAAGGTCACAAAGTCGTATTTTTGTCTAAATATCTTGCAAAGCTACTTATGTGTCCCAATTGAGGCCTTAAAATGATCAAACCCCTCAAATAAAAGGAACGTGATGTCCGTATTTCCGTTCGAAATGTCAAGAAGACTGGTCAGACATTTTAAACTAAATTATTTAATTAGGAATGGTATAAAATATCGAATCCAAGTGCAGGAATAGGCCGAGCAATGGTTTCAAAGTAGCAGAATATGTCATTTTTCTCAAGGGAAATTACATTTAACGCGAAAATCCCGTAAAGGAAATCCTTAAGAACTGAGTTTATTTTCTCTTTGAGATTTCTGTAGTCTTTTCTCCAGTGTTGATTAATTACTGCAGTATCTTGTTATATGTGTCATCCATCTATCATACGGAAATCTAGACTATTTGGGTTTGGACGCCAAAGATCCTGTGCATGATGTATATACATGGGACGATCCTTTTTATGTCAAAGTCACAATATTCCCTCTTAATCCGAGTACATACAGCTGGTTACGCGGCACTGGCACACGTGTAGCAAGCGTGCAAGGTGCTCGTGTAAACAGCAGATCAGAATGTTCAGCAGTGAATGAAGTTTTATACGCTCGTAGTATATGTAACTGCCACAGGACTTCACCAGTCCTGCACATTGAGGAACTTTGTAATATTAGCTTTGACGGCACAGTTTATTGCTATACGAATCGCCCGTAGGGAGTCTGTAAATCGTTTTCAAGTTGAATGGGTACATTTAATATTCATTGATGATTAATATTTGTTTTTAATAGTATTATGTAACTGCTACATGTAGGTCATTGAATTCATAGCAAGTGCGAGAACAATTTATTCTTCTTCTTCTTCTTTTTCTTATTATTATTATTACATCCAAGCATAAGGGCAGACGTCCTGCAGATTCCAAATAGACCGAACAAATTAATCCCCATTCCATGCCCAGTATGGCAGTTTGAAAGAGACCGGATTATATTGAGAGAGTGTGGGAAAGCCAGCAGCGAATCTTATAGTCATATTATCCTTGACTAAGGCCAACACTTCATAGTTGACTTAGAGCAGCATTGTATAACACCAATACAGAATTGATCATGAGCATGCTTTTCTATTATTGAGTTCCTCCCATCTCCTGTATACAGCGCACCGGCTAAATGGTACTTTTAACAAAGGATCAGAAATATGAATAAAATCTGTCAAAACACTTTTAATCAATGAAATACATGGATAATACAAAGCACAAAATAACCCAGAAAATAAAGGTCACGAGTGATTTTTTGCAGTTTCATAGCTCCATAAAAATAACGGATGATATTTACCAAGGGCGTTATTTATTGGCAGTAATATCTAGAACTTAAATAACAAGCTTAAAGCAAACATTGAGTTATGGCTGGCCAGGTTCGTGCTGTTTTAACATTCCTATGCTCCCAGCCATGCCTCCATATCTACGGACACGGTTCGTCGATTCATATATGCCTAAAGCAGATGGGGAGTGACGTTAGTCATCTATTACTTATTGAAGGCTCGGGATTAATTGGCAAAATTATCGACAAATGAAGTAGTGGTTAATTACCGACTTATTAACTCAATGTTTTATTTATTTTTATTTGATTTTTTCTTACTTTCCGTTTTAGTCTTTGTCTGGTCCATTTTGTGTTTTTCTTTAATTTTCTTTATTTCAATTATTTTCATTGAGTTAAGATTTTATTTGCTTTCTGTTGTACGACTGATTTTTTTTTTTTTCTATTTTTCTTATAAAAGCTTGTGTTACGTCAATTTTCAGTAAAGGCTTAACCATTCCATTTCCAGAAAAACTGGCAGTTTTTTGTTATTCAAAATGTCTTACTCTGATGACTAACATAATATCAGTGAAGAGAACCATCTCTCGAGCTTAAGGTGTGTAGCTAAAACCAGACCAGCACACGCTTGCGTCTCTCACCAGAACAGACTAAACATAGTGGTCGCTAATCACAGCATTAATATTCTCCCAGCTGTAGCTCACCTGTCGAATCATCCAATCTACCGAATGGAACTTGGTTAAACAAGTCTTGAACAGCTGGGAGGCTAGCTATTTCGCTTTAACAACACCTGATATTTATACGCCTGCTTTTAATTCAGGCGCACATAAGATATTAACGAATCCTTATATTAAAAAGAGAATAGATAAATAAAATTGACCCAGTGATTAATAAACTCGCGGCGCTTCCTTTCTCGGCGCGTGAGAGCCTGATAAAACGCCACACTGTCGAGTGGTACGTTATTGGAAAGCGTGCACCTGATTGTGGAGTGGATGATTGTTTTTGGGGGACTAATTGCGTTTCTGGAGGGGACAATTTCCCGTGGAATTGATTAACACCTCGGGAGTGGTAAATGGATCTAATGAGTTGGTTATTAGGTAGTGAGGAATGCATTTTCCTGGCAACATCTTTTAAGATATAGATATAGGAATGAAATTCTCGGTTTGGTTGCAATAAAGGGCGACCCTGGCAGAAGCTTCATGTTTTTGTTTATCCTTTGCATTGTGTATGAGCCATTATGGTATTGCCTCGTTGACGGTGTCCATTCATATACAATATATTAAAGAGCTCATGATAATATTGTGTTTCTATTTGTTAGATGTCGGTGTACATTATAATATATACTTAACTGTTGGTTGAGCAGTGACGCCCTTTTTCAGATTTAAAAGCACGACAATACCTAATTATTGGGATTAAGAGGCCTACTCTAATCATCGCCTATATTGACTAATTTTATTTTATTCTAACGCTCATGTGTTACTAAAATGACTTTACAAAGGATGTTCATAGACAGCAGAGTGCAAAAAAAAAAACTCAACCTCGTGTTGAACTTAATTGCTAATCTTGAGATTTATATGAGCAAGAAACCTGTAACTGAGTTTGGATATGTTCTAAATGTTTATGACTCTATGAACTTTTCCCATCGGAAGGTATCGTGCGTTTAGTGTATGTACGCCTTTTTTCTCATTAAGATATAGCACTGGTAAACCATATACACTTTTAGGCAATAGGTGATATACACTTAATAAGCAAAATTCACATGAAAAGTATCTTATGTAATGTTTCATGTGACATCCATATGTTTATATGATTATTAACCATACCAACGCAACAGGCTTGAATATTACATGCTATATAGATAATGTTAGATATACAATGATTGATTTGCGGAAACAGGAATGTAATCATTCACTCGAATAGTTATGGGAGCTGATATGTTATGTTCTGCCAGATGCTTCAACATATACCAGCCGCCGAGCTGGCATTTCCGTTGCTGCATTATTTATACCACAGAGAATAAATGGCTCGAGGTTGCTGTTCTGAACAAATTGCGCATCTACCGGTACTGAAACACTTACCTGGGTGCACTGCAAATGATGTACTTAGGCACAGTTTTAGTCAGCTTAACATGTTCTATGAACAAGCAACCAGACTGGCATTTTTCGAAATTTTCATAAACTTAATATTGACGTTCAAACAAAACATAGGAACAACAATTCTATAGGCGCTTGTTTTCTTTATTATTTATTTTATTTATTTATTTATTTTATATTATTATTATTTTTTATTTTATTTATTTATTTATTTATTTATTTATTTATTTATTTATTTATTTTTTTATTTATTTTATTATTTTTTTTTTGCATTTAGGTAAACTTGCTGGAAAACGACTGTCCTTTTGAAAGTGGACTCGTTTCTGATCAATGATTCGAGTATTCCCCGTGCTGTTATATTTACGTGAAATGACTTGACAGTTGTTCAACGTCCAATCAGGTCTAACTTAAAGAAATCTGTCACCATGCCATAAAGTATATTAGTTTTATTATCATATAATCTATAGTATACACAAGCACTTACACAAACTGCAATGTATATAGTAAATTAGTTATCACCAAGCATACAGTATACTAGTTGTATAATCATATGGTATATTAGTTGTATTATCATACCGCATATTGTATATTACTTGTATTATTAAATAATTAGTACCGAAGTATTAGTAGTTTTATCATAGTATGTACATGTAACATCTTGTCTTGTCTAGTATAAAAGCTGTATTATCTTAAAGGATATAGTTTCGTTGTATTATCATACACTATATACACTGTAGTATATGTGATTCCTCTACTTACGTAGTACGTGTACACTATTGTGTTGGTGCTCAGCGTGGTCCAAGTCCCAGCGAATAACACCGGTTAGGCATTGGAATTTCAAACATTTTACAAACTCTATGAGTCTAAGTACCTGAACGGCAGTCTAGAGCACATGAATTATTATATAGTACAGGTAAATAGTGCCTATAGAATGTAAGTGTTTAGGGCCTGGGATCCCAACTGATCAAGCCATGGCCGGAAATGTTTAAGGCAATGGGTCACGTTGTTCAAAGGCGCCATTTTGATTCTCATCCCGAGAGGTCATGCAATAAGGCAACTTCCCGTTGAGTTTTATTCCCGGATGTTTCCTGGCCAGGTACCCGGCGTAGACGTGGTCTAATTGAGATTACAGTTACCCACCGGGCTCTATTCCATTAACACATTACGTCAAGTGTCTGGGTAGATTCTGAGTACTTAGACCCCAGGATTGTACAAACACACGGTGACCTGTGCTGACCCCGGACCAACATTGACTCCGGGATAACAGCTTGCCTTTTTCCCTTAAGACTCCCCCGTCTAATGAACCACCTGAGACTAGCACCACGCGCTGCAGTTAGTGTTTCTTTCTTGTTTGTTTTTTAAGTTCTTTCCCGCTTGGTTTTTTTCTTGAAGTCGATACGGGTGAATGGCTCCATTGATCGACTTACTAGGAGTTCTGCCAACGGAGTTGATATTACATAAAATCGTTGGATTATCAACAACTGTGCAACTATTATTTTACTTTGCCTGTATGGTTAGCCTGGGAAAACCTTCTTCAACGCCAGGCTTAATTGGCGATAGAGAAAAGTATTAAAAACACGTGCTTTCAAGAAAGTACATTTCTCGCAGAACAGGTGAACAAGTTGAATGTGGTTGATAGGATCAATTATTCTTAGGGGCCGCTCGCAATGAATTTTGTCGACCTAGCTAATGCGCATTAACTCCACGGAGACTCTCGCTAAATGCAGTCAGATTCACAGACCAACACCCCCCTGTCGTTTCCAACGTACTCATGTAGTCCCCAGCTTCTCCGTATTCTTTACTCGACGCCAGGAGATGTGTTAGTCTGTTAGTCTGATTACATACAAAGAGAATCAACGTGGAGTCGATGCGCATTAGCTAAGTCGACAAAACTTATTGTTAACGGCCCCTTGGTCTCCGTGTTAGTGTAATACATATATTAAGTGGGGATATGAATCCATGGTTGATCTAGGGGATAGGCTCAGGGATACAGGACACCCCACGTGCTTGTTACCGATGTGAACAATTTCAAGGTGAAACTGTCGGTCTCAACTTGTCGATATCCGTGTGATTTGTACGCCTAACTACAGTAATTAGACATACAACAATTGATCCCTGGTAACTTTATTCTGTACGTTATACGGATCCCATATGCATTTTTATTTCAATTCGTGCATGGTATAATGCACATATATTTAATGACATAACGATCGAGAGAGAGAAAAAAGACAGAGAGAGATTTTATATTAGATTAAGGGGGCGGGAAGCAATAGAAAACATTTCTAGTCCTCTGGCAGAGTTATGCCATGGTTATACCTTGTTCTTTGTAAATGCAAATGTTTCATAATTGAATATATGTAGATATATACTGATCAAGCTTGGGCCTGATTGCCGCTCAGGTAGTAATTATAATACTGAACGTTTGATATCCCACGTTATTATGTATACATATTATTTTCATAGTAAACAACATGAAACTGAACACTGATATCAGTGCGGTTACGTAATGATTTTTATTTTTATTTAGATTCCAACTATAAGCAATGATATTGGTGCATACTGGCCTTCTCTGCTCTGTACACGTCTTCAAGACGAAACCTTTATTAACCATCTCGTTCTTTGCATTATAGCTGGCTGCGTACAAATCCCCAGGGGATGCTGCCATGGGGTCTAAAAGACAATCCCCTGAGGGTGAAGACCACGCCCTACCTCCTCCAGAACCCAAACGGGTAAGTACAACCCTGCGTTCTCAGAATTCGCCTGTTGTACGAGTACATCTGTGATCCGGGGCCGTAGCAATAGTCCGAAGGTTCATTGGTCCGAATATTCACTATAGAACCTTCGGACCAATGAACCCTTGATTAAAAAATCGATGAAAATGTTACCACTTTTCGGACCAATGAACCTTCGGACTATCGAGACGCCCCCTGCGATCCAAACTACAGTACTTTATAAAATCACGCCTATCAACAGTCCAACATACGTTCCCTCCCTTATATACATATACTTTCATGCCTGTGTACACCCATATACACGCCAAGAAACAAACAAATATTATACTCGTGTGTATACTAGTACTGTGCCCATTTATAGCGCCTAAATACAGACACCCTCATGTTGCTCACGCGTCGACTTCACATACGTAGCACATTTACTATTAACTTTCTCACTGGCGCTATATACAAACATGACTCGCATCGAGCCTGTTCAGAATGTGTAAGTGCCCACTTGCTAGTGGGCACTAACTCCAAGGGGACTCTCACTGAAAGCAATCAGACTGTCAGACTAACACGTCACCTGGCGTTGAGTAGAATTATACAGAGAAGCTGCTGATTATATACTCGTACTTTGGACACAAGAGGAGGCGTGTTATTCTGTTCATGTGATTACATTCAGCAAGAGTCTCCGTGGAGTTTGTGCACATTAGCCAGGTGGACATCAGTTTTCCTGAAAGTTTGAATTCTGCCGGACGACACAGACAGACAAAACTCGTACTCACCTTTAAATGTTTCATTATTTAGATTTCTATTTTCGAAAAAAGGTAGTCGTTGACTCAGTGAGTTTGATTTTAACCTTCTTTACCCTCAGTGGCATAAACTCCCAAAAATAGCATAATCCCCAAATTCAAAGCTAGTGTAAATTTTTTCCCGTCGTAAAATAGACCATTACCCCTAAGCGTACGTGGATCCACCTTGTACACAGTTGCATATACACACCACATCGGCTTGAAGTCAGTTTTTTATATAGGTGCTCAGTTAACTTTAAGTATTAACCTCTGTTTTGTTTGTTTGTGGTCTAGTTTTCATAATTAATCGAAACAAATTAACGTGGCCTAATTGAAGCACGTTTCTATATTGAAATGAGTTATATCTGCATACAGACTATCACCAACAGTAATTTAAGTAGAGGGAATATCCAATACTTGAACACTTTACGCTTAAATTGAGCGATTTTGGTATTTCGGGGAACGTTTAGGGAGCAAAAATATAGAAATCAATCCTCATAAAAATTGGCATTTCCGGATATTCTGTTCTGACACCTAATACGCCCATAGTAACGACTGCTTGCCTTCATACACACGCTTCATCTTAAACAGCACATAAATATATTAGTACATGACTAACCACATTAACAGATTAATAATCCATATGATAAAAAAATCATCTAGATTAATGAAACCCAAACAAAAAGACTGATGCATGATCCAAGTACAAAGAAAAAAAAACAAATCCAAACATTCTTCCAGGTGGACCTGTTGTAACTGTAGGAAACAAGATGTTGTTTGTTTGAATATGTTGTTTGCAAGGATTGAATGTCAACCTCTTCAGGAGTGCAGACATTGCGTTGCATGCCTCGTGCGAGGTTGGCACGCCCACCTAACTTCATATCAAGCACCATGCAGAAGAGGACCATTTGAACTTCCACGCATCCAACCACCAATGCGTTCTGCACACAAATAGGGCATGTTGGTTTTGCCTAGCCGTGTGTTTTGACTGGCGTTGTGGCCTGCCTAGCCGTGTGTTTGCTGGCATTTTGCGCCTTTCAGTGCGGTGTGTTGGGAGATTGCTCCTCTTTTTAGATCTTACTGTTCACGTAGTAGAGAGAGATATGTACTACTTATAATAAACTTCTAGAATAGGGGGATTGAAGATAGCTAGGATATTTCTTCGATAAACGAAGCAGAAGACTTTGCCAAATCATGTAATCCATCCTCTGAAGCAAAGACCGATATTACAATTTTATTTCATTTTAATTTATTTTATTTAATTATTTTATTTTTATTTTTTTATTTATTTATTTTATTATTTTTTTTTTTTTTTGTACAAAAATCCTGACACATTCTGCCTTTTTAGTGTACAGGCATATGTTACAGCGTCAGCCTCGATATGAAACATTTTCTGACAAAGCCTTTAGCTTTCAAGATATCGATAGCGAGGCGCATACCACGTGACTGTAGTTTAACCACAGTCACATGACCCACAGCAGTAACCATGCCGCCCTAATTAACAGTAACACGTGTTACTAGGCTGACATAAGCTCGGCTGAACTTGACCTTGTTGCGTCAGTGGTTGGACTATCCCAGGATTCCAGGCAATGAGGACTGTTTGGTTATGATTACCTACCTCCTACCTCCTCTCGGTCGTATGGCATAGTTCACGTGATTAATAACCTCGTTATTAATTGCAGATGCGCGAAATAAACAAGCTGTACACGTGAAACATCTTATAACGTTGCTACGATATTGTCGGAACAATGCGTGTCTTCATCAGTTTATCTGGTATCTTAAATATTTCGCATTGTGACGGTTAAAAAATGGTGTGTATCTTTCGCTCGCTGTCCATTTCTATTTATTTATGTTGTGTATGTAAATGTGTGTCCATTGACTTCTCTTTCTAAGTTAACTCGGGGGGGGGGGGCTCCAAATTATTCAAACAAAAGATTCTATGAAAACATGTACAAACGCGACTAGAACAAACGCATTAAGAGGAAATTCTGTTATGTCAAAACGTACTAGTAAGTCTACATTTAATTTTGCATTTTTAGGACAGATAATTTTTTTCGATTGTAAAGAGGAAAAAGCAACAGCGATGAGTCTCGCAGTGTATTCTGTAGTACACATTTAAAAAAAGTACTTGTAAATGATTTTTCGAGACTATCAGCACCATCTGTACCATCTTTTTCTTGCACTGCCTCACCCCCCCCCCCCCCAATCTACACCCTGTGTTGCCTCCCTTTGCTTTCTAACTCGGTAAGCACCTCGTTTTGCAGCCACTGTGTTTGTTGAGTCAGACAGGTAGCAAAAACAGAAAAAAACATCTTAGCCGAAATACATGCGTGTCTCTGGTTTTAAATAACTACTTACAGGAATGAATGCAATACATGCAGTTTTCCAGGTTAGCCTATTTACATCGTACGTGTACATCTGCTTTGTTCAGCCTGTCTTTACCACTCACATACTACCATCCACAGCGAAATGCATTTTATTTTGTCTAAATCTCTGTGACACACATGCCCTCAACAAATTGACGACATCTGGTTGAAAAATAATGCAAACTACAAACTTCAACCCTCTGTTCTTCCATTTTTAACCTACTGGAGCTAAGGCCAAGAGCTTTGGACGCCTTCCAAATATATATAGATTTTAGCACCAGAGATTTCGAAACCCGAGTACACGTAAATGCATGTCACTACCGGCCTTCGGTTCCTGTAATGTTCACAAATGACTTATGTAGTAATATCTTTTCCAAGCACAGATGCTTATCAGCAGCACTTCAAATTTTATCTAGGGGCTGGAGGAGTAGACAAACAGACAGACAAAATGTCCGCCATCCCTCTCCATCGAGCCTCTTAGTGGCCATAAGAGTAATCACACAGAAAGGTACAGATATCCAGCATGCGCATGCGTTATCTATTTCATGGACCCCACAACCAACTACCTTCCCCACGTCATCAAGTCGCCTGCCTCATCACTTATTCACTACCGCGTCTTGCATCATTTTTGTAAATGGTAGCCACTTGCAATTGGAGCCAACATGTGTAGTTCCCCTTAATCGCACGAATGTGTCGAATTTGTTATTAAAATAAAACTTAGAAGATGTATTTGTCTGAGTTATAAGTACTTGACAGCATTTTTGGAGATGTCTTAAAGTATCAAATCAAGGGGAAATGCATAACGCGGTAGAGAAAGCATAAAAACAAATTAAGATGAGGCAGGTTCCTTCCGAAAAACCTATGTTTGTCTCCTAACATTGTATACACGTCCTCTCCTTCCCGACGTCTTCGTTCTATTCTGGACGCTGCATTAATACGTCTTAATCATGAACGCACTGTTAAGACATATTAGCAACTGCAGATGGTATAATTGCACCTTACAAACAAAACGGCGCATACGAATTGTGTTAGTTGAGACGAGTCTCATTCAAACGCAGTAAAGCCCTTCAGTCCATAGACTACAGAATACCCAAACTGTCTCTGAAACATTAACACCAGTGCATGCACACAGTGTAATAACTACCGGGCTGAGGGCCGGGTACATATATCCTCTGTTTAATGTAGAATGATGCATTTTCCTGTTCACCGTCATACCTTTGTCGACAATCGTAGTCTTGTATCAGAAACCTCACCGCCTCCAAGCTTTCCATGTGGGCAAGAGTATGTCCAATGAAATATGTCATACAAAGGACGGGGTGCTTGAAGTAATTAAGCTTACAGCTGGTGTTGCAAAGAATTGCCAGTAAATATAAAACGTCACTGGCTTATTTTGATAAATAACACATCAATATCATCATTTATTTCTGAACACCTTTATTCTCTGCTTCTGTGCTGCATACCTCGCAATAACAATAGCCTTCTACGCACGTCTCATGCTTTCTGACCTTGCTTCTACTAAATGCGTTGTTGGGGGCTACTTTTTACTAATCAAACGTTGATTACTTATTTTTCTCTGCATGACGTTTTGCTAGAATATTACCAGTAGATACTTCTTTTGAAATTAAGATTTTAATTAAAATCTGGACATTTTTAGGCAACGTAGCTGCCATTAGTTACAGTATCTTATATTGCATGCGCAAAGCGGTCGGATGCTCGTGTGCACGTCACACGTGTTGAACTAGACATAAATGTAGCTTCTTTCAATCCCTTAACAAGGAACTTCCACCGGAATGTTAACTAGATGCCATAACAGTTGTTTTGATCGGTAGCTTAAAGAAACCTTTCGCTTCATGTGTTCAGCGCATGAAGATATTTTATTTTCATAACATTTACTAAATGTGTCGTATCTAGAAGTGTACATGGAAGCGTAAATGAACCGAGACAAAGATTTTATAGTGCTTGAGTATATGTACAATGCTCTGAGGTGTATGGAGATAAGTGAACAGAGTGATAACATAGCAATATATTGTTTTTGTGGACTTCGATGTACCAAATAAGGAATTTTCTGTATGTACACTTAAACTTTTGTTGGGACAAAAAATGGAATGTTTATAGCATTATAACATTATTATCTGTCAGGTGTCAGCTGAATGCATGGTTAAGAGTTGATTATGCTTACATTTATCTCTCATTTTCAGCGGGTCCTCACACGGAGTATAAGTGAACAAAGCACAAGCATGGAGGACCGCGAAGTCTCGCACCTCAGGCGAGATCTCGAGGATGTAATTGAGCGCGAGAGTGACCTTCGCGAGCAACTTCGTTTTACGGAAGAGGAGGTCAAAGTTTTGCGTAAAAAGCTTCAAGAGACTGAGGTTGAAAACGAGACTTTGTCCATGCAGCTAAAAAAGATGTCCCCAAGCGGCTCTAGGGGAGCCAAGGGGACGAAGAAGCGACAGGGTTCTCTGGAAGAGGTTCTGCCACCAACATTGCCGGATATTGCCGAGGTGGTGACGCCGTCCGACTCCGAGTCGGAACCTGACTTTCACCTGCAAATGGAAGTGGCGGAGCAGGAGGCCAAAATACTAAGGAAAAAACTCCAAGATGTGCAGCAAGAGAACGAGAACCTTTTCGCGGAGGTGAAATTCCTTCAGGAGAGGCTCGCTGCAGAGGGAAAGGTCGACCTATCGAAGTACGGCTCTGATATAGAGCTGCAACTTATGTTAGACGAGATTGACAGCTTGAAGTGGCAGCTTGTGGAACGCGACCGCGAGATCCTCGAGCTGAAAACCAAGGTCAAGGCTGGTTCGCTGCAAGAGGCAGGTCGGAAGCAGCTTATTAAACGCAGCAGATCATTAGACAGCGATTTCCAAATTGACGTAAAACGGCAGCTTGAGGCAACGCAGTCAGAGGCAACATTCTTAAAAGAGCGTTTAGAACATTTAGAACAGGAAAATGATAACTTACATAAAGTGAACCGGACGCTGCAGCTGGCGGCCTTAAGGAAAAGTGTGCCTGCCATCAAGCCAGAAGACGCAGCTTTTCAAAATATCGAACTTAAGGAGTCAAATCGAATACTGGAAAAAGAAAACAACGAGTTAAAACAAAAGTTAAGAGAATTGGATTTTAGAACTCAGGATTTAACGAGGGAAGTGAACAGGCGGGAATTTCAACGTGGTAGTGACATGCAACGATCACGTGAACTGGAAGATCAGTTGGGGGAGGCGGGCGAGGAATCCATCGTGCTCAGACGGAAACTGGCGGAGTTGACCGAAGAAAAGAGCACACTTCTCCGGGAACTAAATGAGTTGAAGGAAGGTGGTTCTCGCGACCAAAAGACGCGGAGACCGTCAACTCCCGAGGTGGGAAAAGGAAAGGAATTAGTGACCAGTGACATTTTGAATAAAATCGCTGAGCTTCAGGAAGAAACCGGTAAGATGATTTGGTTATCTGTGTGTAGTTATTATTATTTATGACCTGAATCCTTACATTTAAAACATAGTCCAGATAATGTGCATAATTATGATTATACAAAAACCTTAAACACGTTTTAAATTTGATTAAATAATCATTTGAAAAGGCAGATTGTCTCTTATGTGGGCTTATCTGAATGAGATTTAAAACACACCACTGCATAGAGCGTCTGTGTTACCCTTTTGGTTGTTCTACTTTACGTTGCCTGTACTTGCGACCTTTTCTACTAGCCCTCGTCGCGCCCTCACGCCTTTTCCTATATCAAGGCCACAGATTGATTTTTCGCTATACATTCACGGATATGTTTCTGTTTAATTCTACACACTTTCTCTGCTTTCCAGCAAGAATTATTGAATAGAAATTACTTCATTGCTCAGTTGGCCTTTAGTATAGAGTACCGGACATTCTGTTGATAAGTATTGTATAACTCGCCCTCTCCCCTTCATAAAAAGAAACTGGCGTACTAGTATACACTGTGTCAAGCGACCAAAATTATGATAACTTGCAGTGCGCATTTAGCTCAATGATTCGAGGGAGTTAAGTTAACAGCATGCATGTTATCACAATAGAGGGCAGATATGTATGTTTGACAGCTGTCGCAGGAAAAACAGAAACAAAGAAAAGGGAAAAGATTTTCAATTTCCTAATTATCAAGAGTTCTGATTTAGTCGTATACGTTACTGGTTTGTATATCTCCCTTTTTTCAACTATGAATATGTTCGTGTTATCTTATGAACAGGAAAGGAACAGCATCTCATAAAAGTGTGATAAATACTTTTGCAGAGGATTTGCAGATCATTATTAAGGCCAAAGACGCCACCAACGAGCAGCTCGAGAGGGAGATAGAGGGACTGAAGGAGGAAATGGGCAACCTAAAGCGAACATTCCGGCACACGGAGGGCGAGCTGCTCAACGAGTTGGACCAGATGAAACAAAAGAACGAAATCATGCAGAACCTGCTGGACCTGGTCGAGGAGAGAGCGGACTGCTTACAGGATGAGATAGACGGGTAAGGGACCGTTCACAATGGATTCTGTCGACCTAGATAGCGCAAGCTAACTCCACGGGGACTCTTGCTAAAAGCAACAGATTAACATACTGACACCTCTCCTCTTGTTTCCAACATACTCGTATATTTACCAGCTTTTATATGTTCTACTCCAACCCAGGAGGAGTGCTAGTCTGTTAATCTGATTGCATTCAGCGAGAGTGCCCGTGGAGTCAGTGCGCATTAGCTAGGTCGACAAAATCCATTGTGAACGGTCCCTAAGTTTGATCTACAGCACAAGTTGGCAGGGTCTGCTAATTCTGAAACACATGGCAGAGATTGATCAGTGACGGGAAACCGCCCGTAAAAGAAATTAGTCTGTCTTAAAAATTGAGTTCATTTATATGCAGGAACATTTGACTGAAACGCTAAACAGTAATTTGCAGTTGCGATTAATTTATGGAATGACGTGTACTGATACGTGTACTGAGTATTAAGCCTTAAAAGCAGGTAAGATATGGGTTTCGCCAGAACCGTTAAGGAAGAACCTGTACCTGGTGGGATGCTCCAAGCGTTGATAATTAACAGACGTCTGTGTACAGGTTCAGAGGTCTACAGCACTCTTCGTACTTCTCGTTCACCGTAGCAACCTGCCAAAGGCGTGATAAATAAAACAAATTATTGCAAGTTATTTATAGGAGTGCAGTCCTTATTTCAGAGGTCAGCGCATTCCAATCTCGCGGAGCATTTCCTGTTTTAGAATACCTCACAGACAATTTCTCTGAACAGCTCGTATCTCTCATTGTGCTTCACGCCTCAAATCAATTGCTTTCCATTCAAATTTAGAAAGCTGCATAAGCAGCATCATACAAATTTGATATTTCACATTCACTTGCTGCTGCAACTGATTTTGTTTTCCGTAAAAGCTGTACGATTGTACGGAGATTGAACCAGTGTCTGGGTCGCATTTAATCTCTTGGCAGAGAGTTGCAATTACCATAGTATCAGCTCATCAGAGATTATTGCTTGGGCTCGTATGCCTACGCCTAGCTTTTTCTACATATACACTCTATCAGAAAATTGGGATAAAACTTGCTTTTAAAAAAGCAAACCTGTCCACTGCATCATTTTAGGTATGGCAGCGAGTCCGGTTCTTCTGAACGGTCAACTCCTAGCGAGAGAAGCGCCATCAGCGTGATCAGTGACGTCAGCCTCGGGAGTGATGACGTGTTTGCAGTGACGTCAGGAGCACAGACACCAGGCAGCACCAAAGTCATACAGAAAGACTGGGATGTGAGTTACCTGTTTTGTTTTTATTTTTTGTTCTCACTTTCTTCCTTGTACAGACCCAACTCTGGACTGTATAAGAATGATTATGCTAATCTCTGCGATATTTTCCATCCAAGCTTATCAAAATACATTGAAACTGCTGTGACAGGCACGGTAGTTCGCTAGGAACCATAGTCCGTTCTCCACTACTTTATACAGGTGACTTTCGTCCTAAGCCTAAGACTCTAATAACCCTGGACTTCATTTCCTGGGACTACCATTCCTGTCACACCGGTCACTGCCATGTCAACAAACATTTACATATTGAGTCATTTTCAGGGTTGTGTCGCCGTAGTATATTAAAACACACACACACACACGAGTCCGTTCACTTTCCAGAGAGCCTTTAAAAAGCGCGTGGAGTCATTGGAGCGTCTGTTAGCCGAGGAAAGACAGAAATCGTCCACTCTTGGCAAAAAGGTGGACATAATGACCAGCGACCTAAAAGTCCAGTCTGGGGTGAGAGACCAAGCATTCGTACACGATAAGCAGAAGGAAGAGTTACAGCAAGAGGTAGGGCTATGAGAAATTTGTGTTTATCCATGATACTTCTACAATGTACCCTCCAATATGAATATTAACATAACTTTTTAAACGGTAGCTTCATAAACAGCTTTCGATTGAGTCTTGATCTTGAGAAATATCGAATTAACTTCTGTATTCGATGCAGGAACATCGAAAATATAACTGAGTACTTTAATGGTACCTGAAGGCCTTCTTAAAACAATTATGATATGTATATCTTAGCAGCACAGATGTACCGGAATGTTTTGAGAGGTTCTACCATACAATTAAGGTACAAAGAGCTCGACTCCCCTTCACAAATACTCCACAAGGTTGTTTCTTGGTGTTAAGTTTAGTTATTGGTCGTGTTGGCTGCGGGGGTTACGTTTCAGTCACCTTCTTACGCAATGGCCAGGCTACGAAATAAATTAAGACACGCCGGTAAAGCGGCATCGCTTAGGTATTACTTTCTATGTGAAAATATCCTTTTCGTATCAACACATTTTAAAATATATCATCGGTTGACGTACGTGACAAAGGTGTGGTCGGTCTGTTTAAAGTAGTTTGTAATTGGGGGTGTCAATAGTTTGGTTCCTTTCTACAAAACCCAAGAATATCGCAAAACAACTAGTTGCATGCATTGTATTATGGTTTCTTGGTGGACCAAAGACGTCTAGAATACCACTGGAGACTTGTTTACGCATAAAAATAGGAGTTGTTTGGCAAAAATAACAAGATCAATTGCGACTTAAGTATACGATTTTCCTTCAATTCTGTTATGACCGTGCTCGGCATGCAAGATTACAGTAATTAAACCCCACATGCGATGTCTTGCATTTGTCGTCACGTTATTTTCCCATAAGACCTACACACTGTGAACATGTACTTGATGAAACAATCCACATTCATGGCCTAAAGTGTTGTGTTAATGCAACATTTGCGACTTTACAATCTGCAAACATTTGTATTTGAATGATCCCGGGGTCTTCACCGCGACATGCCTCGATTTCTATAAGAAAATTGCAATTGATTATCAAAGAGATTAATCTCGGAGAACCGGCTCAATGAACATAGCTCAATAACAGAAAGATTACGGCCCTCATTCGAGCTGTACCATAATCTTAATTTCCGTTTATCTAACAAAATTCAAATGGTAAACAGACAAGTTGAGGAGCTGCCGGCATCTTGTTGCTTGCTTGCAGTGTTAGGTAGGCAGTGGACTGCATTGGCACGTTTCTGCTCGTGTGTGTGTGTGTGTGTGTGTGTGTGTGTGTGTATACAGGTGTGTCTGTGTGTGCATGTCTCTGTGTTAGGGACCATTCCCACAGATATTGGATCGATCTATCTCCCTGGGGAGTCACACTAAATTACTATCAAACTAACCGGCTTAAACGTCTGTCACGCCTAGCAAAACTGTTAGGGGGTAATTATCTTTACCCTTAGCTTTACCCTTCAGTAGGTGTGACAGATATTTAAGCCTCTTGAGCTGATAGCAATTTAGCGTGAACCCCCAGGGAGTTAGCTCGATCCAAGTATGTGTCTTAGTGTACATGTATGCGTGTCACATACAGACCGCGCACCTAAAGAATCAAACGTACATTCAGATAAGCAGGCATCGAGCAATGATTCTCAACGAGCAAATTAGGTAGGGCAAGTGTTAAAATAATTTGAAACGTATTTATATATATTTTCATACAATTCAGCTCCAGCAATGCCAACAGAAACTTTTCCGTGCCACCAACCGAGCAACAGATCTTGAAAACACACTACAGCGGGTGCAGGCAGCCAACGAACTGATGCAGCGAGATATTGACGAGGTAAGTGCCTGAAAAACGATTTTACTTCCAAGAATTCGAGTGTTTCTCAACTCCCACTGTGATCGTGAACCTGGGGCCGAGGACACCATCAAATGTATGTTTAGCTAAGCTGATACCAATGGTCAATAATTACCAATCTGTGTGTATGAGTAGCATTGTAGTTTTGAACAGTATCAACAGCTCTTCGGTCTGCAGGGGCGGATCCAGAATTTTTTACAGGGAAGTCCGATTTTTTAGGATTGATATGCCCCGGATTGCAAGGCCGAACCCCACCCCCATGGCGTCAGGTTCGGGGCACGCTCGAGGGTTCCGAAAAAAATTGCTGTTTTGGAGGGCATATGGCGCCATTTGGTATGGTTTAGAACTATGATTCAGCTTTTTTGGTGTCTTTTTTATCAGAAATCGAGTAGGGCAGGACCCCCCCCTGACACCCCCTAAATCTGCCATTGGGTCTGCATAATTTCATTTTATACTTGCTGCTTCTAGAACTTGATCATATCCTCCCGTCTTTCAGCTCCGTGATGGCCGTGGGAGCGGGAGCGCCATCTGGCGCCGTGAGAAAGAAGAGATGCAGAGAAAACTCCAGGAATTTATGAAGAAAACAGAAGAACTCCACCAGCAACTCCAGCGCCAAGAAGCACGGTGGTCCAGTGGACAGGTGGGTGTTGACAGTATGCAAGTGGGTGTTGACAGTGGACAGGTGGGTGTTGACAGTATGCAAGTGGGTGTTGCCAGTGGACAGGTGGGTGTTGACAGTATGCAAGTGGGTGTTGACAGTGGACAGGTGGGTGTTGACAGTATGCAAGTGGGTGTTGACAGTGGACAGGTGGGTGTTGACAGTATGCAAGTGGGTGTTGACAGTGGACAGGTGGGTGTTGACAGTTCACGAGTGGGTGCTGGCAGTAGACGGTTGACTGGTGGGCGGTGACATTTGATTTATGGGTGTTGACAGGTGCAAATTGGCAAGTGGATGTTGACAGTTGACAACTTAGTGTGTGTCACGTGGCTTGGTGGGTGTTGCTGGGGTTAAGGTTACTGCCCCTGTAGTTCTGACATTGAAAGTGTAAATTAAACCGTTCCCTTTAATATTTTCTAGAACGATTCGAGGTCTACCATCGAAAACGAGATCAAGACTTTGAGAGACAAGTGCGCAGACTACAGGGCAGAGGCCAAGGAGGCTAAACAACAGGCACAAAAGGTATTGGTGTTCATAGCCTTTACATTATACATATAGTTTTAGCTATTGCCATTGTATGTGTGTGTGCGCGCGTGATAGAGAGAGAGAGAGAGAGAGAGAGAGAGAGAGAGAGAGAGAGAGGTGGGGAAGAGATGTAGGCCTATGTATAGGTGCACGTGACGCCGCTATCACGTACTGTACATTGTAATTAAAAGACAACAAAATTGCATTCTTTCAGTTTTCACTTATTTTACAGTTTTATATGAAAAACACTGGTAGAGCAACTCCCTCCTTCAAACGTGGAGGTACCACATGGGTAACACTCTAAACTGCCACCAGAGAGACAACACAATGCACTGTGTTACAACTGTACCTCTAACACTATGTTTAAATAATAACACCCATTAATTTTTGTCCAATAATGTTGTGTTTTCGATCTATAAAAAACACGTGTTAGGCCTGGTCAAAGATATTGTGCGAACCATTTTGTTATCATATATCAGCAATAAACATTTCAACTGGGAATTCACTACATATGTTTTCAGATTCAGAGCATGATCAAGGAGAAGGACGAGCAGTTTGCGCATGACCGTTTCAAATTAGAAGAGGAGATACAGAACCTGTCCCAGACGCTGAACGAGACGCAGGCCACCATGAAGGGCAAGGAGGACCTTCTGAAAGAATTCCAGAGGATCCTGAAAGAAAAAGACACTGAAATTGAAGAGCTTGAAAAGGATTACTTTAACGTTGACGACGAATTACAAAAACAAGAAGGCAATCTTAAGGAAAAAGAAGCAGAGATAAAACAATTGCACGAAGAAATAAAAACTATGAAAAATCAAATTTCTGATAAGGATGATAATTTGAATCGATTAAATGAATCAATAAGGACGCGAGACGAACGTCTTAAAGAAAAAGATGAGATCATTCGAAAAATAAATGGACAATCTGGTTTTGAAATTACGAGAGCCAGACGAGAGCTAACCGAAAAACTATTACAGAAGGATTCAGAATTTCAGAAACTAAGCCAAGAGTTTGGAAAAATGAAGGTTAAGCTGGACGGTTTATCTAAACAGGAAAGTGAATGGCGGAAAGAACAAGAGGGTTTTAAAGAACAAATAGCGAAACTGGAGGAAAATTTAAGGAAAAAAGAACAAGAATCGAAAGACAAATCTTATAAGGAAAAGAGTGCCTGGGAAGCAGCCAAAAAAGATCTGGAAAAATGCGTAGCCAAGGAGAAAAATAAACGAGAGGAAACAGAGAAAAGGATAGACGACATTTTGAGAGAGGTATATGTAATTGCATTATTTTCTTATAAAGTTAAAATATAAAAATAGTTATAAGGTAACGCCATGTGCCCGTTAATGTTGTAATACTAGTACAAATTGCCAAACTGGAAATGAATAAAAAATGTTAACTTTTTATTAGTGTGAGTGCTCGAGCATGTTGCTTTTTAATCAGAGCGAGTAATTTCGATCCCGATTAGCAAACGGTTCAATTAGTGTCCGTATTAATAATGCCTCTCTAGTTGATTTAATGTGGTATTTTCATCCATTGGTACTCTCAGTTCCATATAAAACATATGCCTTTGTGGGTATCCGAATGGATTTTTTGACGGGACAGGTAAGCTCTTTCGGTCTTTTATTTATTTTTTATTGTTAGGGGTATGTCTCCTACCTATAAGACAGAGACTGCTCAGTACAGTAAGTGTAATGCAGTTTCTATCTTCACAATTCAAGCATATTATCATTAAACCATGTCCTCCGTTTTCCACCAGTGCGTGCGGCTAAATGAAGTCGCCAGACTGCTAGAAATGGACCACAGAGACTCCCAGGGTATGACGGCATCACGGACCAGCCTGGCCGGGAGTGACACCAGCGCCACCAGTGAGGCAAAGTGGGACAGAGATAAAGAAGATATACGGAAATTACTGGACGGGGTAAGTAGCCATGCGTACCACTGGTACCCAGCTGTGGCACCGTCTAAACATCACTCTGTCACATGCCGGAAGTGGTAATAGGCTAAAAAATGACCGCTTTATGAAGTGATTTTGCTTTAGTCTCCATACTAAGCTTATTGTCAGCTTTCTTAAAATATACTAAAATGTGTTTGTTAAATACCGTAAGAAACTTTTCTTCGCAAAAGAAAATCCTTGTTTTATATCAAGATCAATTCGAGAATGACTTTTATTCCGTCGAGAGTTTTTCCGCATGAGTATCGAAGCCCTCTGCCAGACCTGTGAATTGAGATAAACTTTGTTCTCCCACGTTGTTGTAGCAAGGTGAAATTGACACTTTGTCTATCTTTTACTCACTCTTTCCCTTTCTATCGTACGTATCGCCATATCTTTTTTACATCTATTTTAAATGCTGTTACATGAACCGCCATTGCTTACATACCGTCGATTAATCAATTTCAGCGAATGGTTCGTATGTTAAAGGAGGTAGGTCAGTTTGAAAGCATGGGAATATGTAGAATTTAAATAGCACACTATTGTCTCCAATTTTTGCCAAAGACCGTGTTTTGTTCCCCGATCGTAGGAAGTGGTCTAAAATAGTGATTGTGTGAATGGGTGTATTTCTACCGTCATGTACACTTCAGTATCTATACTCATTGCTGAGATGTGTCTCCACGTCAGCACTACAGTGTTCCAGTAGTGGCACGTTTGGTTGTATAATTGAAATAAGTGTTAACAAAATGGATTCACTGCCTTGCATCATCTTACAGTTTTATTTATAGTTTTATTTATAGATGACACTTTTTCATGTACATGTATTTATCTTTAATGTAACTGAAGTTTCCTGGCACGTTTGTATAGCTGTACCGTGTATATACATTTAACTTACCTGTAGCATCCTGTAAACCACCAAAGCATCTGACTTCTTTGCAAATAGAACCTGTAGCCTACTGCACAGTATATGAAGACGTTGGCTATCCTTGTACAGGACGTTCGTTCTCTTTGTGAAAATCTAAAGTTTGAAATAGCGTCCTCTGTTTATTTTCTCCTCCCTCCAGTCAGAGCAATGACATAATGTGTCTTGATAAAATTTGCCATGTTTCACAATTCAGTACTCGCACTCCATTGTTTTCAGGCATTTAGCCAGATTTCCAGACTAACTGGTACCATTGCAGCGTCCAGTGACAGAAAGCAACCAGGACTTAGACGGTCAGTGTATTCTGCAGTCTTTTCAAAAATTCAAATATTTAGGAGGGTTTTTTTCTAAAGCACATCACAAAAATTACCTCACTTATGACGCAGATGACCATGCGCAGGGACTTTTCAACTCTCGCTTAATTCTCATTTACACTCGTTTGCAGTGGGAGCGAAAGAGTGTGCCCAACAATTGGACCAGTTTCTGAGTTAAAATGGTGGTTTCAAGCTATGTAACAAGACTACAATAAATACATTTAGACACAACACGTCCAAGAAAAAAGTGCCATATGTTAACGGTGATTCTTTCGAGTAGTTATTTTACATTTCATCAAGCTATTATACACAATTAATTATACAGTTATCCTTCTTTACTGCTAATGAACAGCGTAAAAAAGAAAACACGAATGTAATCTGTTCAATCATTCGGATTTTAACACACTGTACTTTTTATTGCAGGTCTCTGTCCAGCATTGAACTAGAAGTCACTCCCAGTGCGCCTGCGCGAATATCCGCTCCTCCGCTGATGTCTGCGTCATTCACAGAGGGTAGCGCCACCGCTCCCCTGGGTCCTGTGCTACTACCCCCACCCTCACACAAACCCTCCCACAACTCAGGGTCAATGAGTGCATCCACGTCACGTGACACTACCCCTGAGAGGCAGGGTCTCCAGCGGTTCAAGAAGTTCACCAACTATCCGATGCCCACGCCAGGGTTCATGATCTCCCCCTATGGCCGGTCCAAACGGACGCCTGCTCCGGCCACTGCCCCCACCGATACACGACCATTTCAATTCCAGCCATCGCCTACTAAAAAGAGACCCCCATTACAAAAGAGTTTATCTGCAGACACTCCCGGCGAGGATGTTCTCTTCACGGCTTCTCCTGGATATGTGCCGCTAGCAGCGCCCTCACGGGAGCAGTTAATGAGCACATCGCCAACTAGGAGCAGTGGCGATAAACAGTCTCCAAAGTCTGCCAGGCAGCATTTCTTCGATACTTACTCTTCTTCTTCAATATATTCGTCCTTGCCCGCTAGAGGGCGACACGCACAAAAAGGCGCTAGCAAGCCTAGCGTTTTAGAGACAGATTTTCCGGTGACTGAATCACAAACAAAGACCACCAAACCAACGACGACGAGGTCCGGGTCCACGGAATCTCTTCCGGCAGTTCCAACATACAGTACCGACCCACTGGAGACGCCAGAGAGCGCTCCACATAAGAAACACCACTCGCCATTCCGATTTCTTAGCGGCAAAGACAGACGTGGTCTCTTTAAGAGAGCGGGGAGTCTAGAATCCGCCGTCAAAAACACTTTAGCAAAGATCGGCATCAACGTGTCGTCGCCAGCGGCCCCATCCAACACCGATCCTAAAAAAATTAGCAGCTTTTCTCAAAAGGTGAAGCGAAAACTAAAGCGAAGTTCATCGGCTGACTCTGCAGATAATGTGGCAGCCAATGGAGGGTTAGCACCTCTGACGTCATATGGCAGTGACGTCATAGGCCACGACAGTGACTACAGTCTGAACAGCCATTTGTCGCAGTACGCCAGTGGAGCCAGTATAGCTACTTTTGGATCCTTGGTAAGCATAGTTTTTTTTTTCTTTGAAAGACAATTGTGTTAAATGGATATTTAGTTAAACTAATAATCTGTCCTTAATTTTAAGTTTAAAACATTGTCTGTAATAAAAAAATGACTTTTTTCAGGATAAGTGTATTGTTAATGTCCATGAAAAGCTTTTATTATATCTGCATGTGTTTCTTTTGCTTCACATCAGGGATGCATATAACAGGTTAGTTTGGCTATCGCAGTGTCTGAATGTCAATTAACACACCGACATAAATACGTAATAGTATGTAGTTATGTAGTCAAGAAGACATCGTTCCATTTAAAGTTGTCTTAAAAACAACACTTGTATCATTTTAAACTATTATACTGCTCTGTCATTCGATAAAATAATTATTTTAACATCTATTAATTATTCTGTTTATCTGTGCTCTTACAGCCGGAATCTGGTCGGCCACCGTCATTGACGCCATTGTTTGCGCGGCCTCCGTGCCCCAAACGCAGGCGACCGCCCAGGAGATGGCGCCCGAAGTCAAGACTCGCCCACCCGTCACTCCGCCGTGCTGGAGAACATCCTGTGATTCCGAAGGACGAAAAAGAGGCTCACCGCGGGAAAGCTGTGCCCGGCAAATTGCTCTCAAAAGGACATAAATCAGATGAAAAACAGAAAAGTAAAATATCTGATGAAAAGAGTAAAAAATCTGACGACAAAACCATGAAATCGGAAGATAAAAGTGTAAAGCCGGATGATAAACAGAAAAGTAAAAAGATTGATCACAAGGAAACAAAACAAGACGCAAAGCATTCTAAAAAAGACCATAAGGAACCTTTAAAGTTGAATATAGCCGGTCCCCATAGCTCAAAAGACACTGCTAAAAGCAGCACGCCTCCGAGTGAAGGATTGAAAGGCAAAGAATCATCATCATCATCTAAAGACACTCCACCATCATCTTTAGAAAGAGAGCAGCGGGCTTTGAGTCCCGTAGAAGAAAAGAAACGCAAATTCCAGTCTCTATTTGGCGGCGGCAATAAAGAAGAGAAGAAGACGCCGACGCCGGTGTCTCGTTTTCGCTCCCCCACGCGGACAACGTCGCCAACGTCACCTACGTCCCCTACGGGACGCCCAGCTGGTGGAAATATTCTGGACCGTATTAAAAAGTTTAACGAAACGCCAGTGTGACCACAATGAGATGACGTCAAATATGACGTCACGTATACACAACGTTCGAATAATAATAAATATGTTACAATGTTCCTTAAAATATACAAGAACATTGGAAAACAGGACAATTTTCGTAAAAGAAGTAACGCAAAGGAATCAACTGTTTTCAGCTGTATGAAGTCTTATGGTCACATTCTTTCTAATGGAATTACCTTGTCTATCTGTGGAACTCTCTTCCTAAAATAAGAACAGGTGTATTCAAGTAATAATCCAGCGATAAGTTATCTGGTCTCGCAGAGGCACGTTTGACATATCATTCAGGGAGAATCAATCAAATGCAAAGATATACAAAACAATGGGAACCAGCAGCACTAGGCAATAATTATGTTCAGCCACAATAACGCTCAATGTAACTTACCACTCTGTTGTATAGAGCTGAACAGTTCTGAAAGCTGCGAATACAAACTGGAACCGCCTGTACGACTCATGCACACCATGTACCAAATACTGTGTATATACAAACTGGAACGGTCTGTACAGCTCATTCAATCCACTTGATAAATACTGTATATGTATAGTATGTATATACATACACATGTGTACACGACCACGATGTTACAGTAGGTACATTGTTGTTTTCCTTTTCCATTTTAATTTGTTGACTTTTTTGACAAAGACATTTTCGTCTAATTAATTGTTGACGTTCTGTTGTGAGAAAAAACATTTCCGTTGAAAGGATTACACTTGTGTTATCTCTAAATGTCCCTCTATCTTGTACATAGTTATTCGTTGCTGCATTCTCGAAGAGAATGTGCTTTTTCCGCTTTCTTGATTCCTGTCAATGATCGATTCCGATTGTCCATAAGTGTGATATACATAAATGCTACATATGTCAGATCTCCAAACTCATATAACTTACAGAATTGGAGCTTGTGATAATCAGACCTTATTCTAAAGTAAGTGTATTTTTATTTATTTATTGAAAACACAGGTGCATACGCTAAGTGTGTGAGTAATGTTTTAGGTGTCTCCTTGTTATTAGAGTTATATATAAAACATCAGTTTTTAGAAGATTCCTGGTGGTTTGGAGACTTGGTCAAGACACGCCTGTTATTTCGTTGCGTGTGGCGTCGTACGCGACGCTATGCCTCTGTACGTTTTCTCTGTTGTGCTGTCGTGTATTGAGCACAATCCTCTCAGTCTCAACTGTAACAATCCGTGAACCCCCGGCGTGTTCTAGCAGCAGCACTCCAGATTGTGCTGCGTGTCCCGTGCCACTGGGAGTCTTCTTATTGAAACCTTTCTACTTTTTATTTCTTCCCCAATGTATTTTCAGCTAACCTGTGTTGAATGTAACATTGTTTGTCTTGCGTGTACTGTGAACGCCTTAATTCTTCAGTCAAAACTGGACTGTGTGCAGTTAAATTGTAATTCTGCTAGAGGTCGTAAATGAGCCACGTGTATAGTGACAGGGGGACGTCCCATCAGGGATGTACTTATTGCGTTTACAGGGCTAGTGTCATGGGGAAAAGTCACATCATAATGAAAAATCAGTTAGAATCCTTTTTTGAAGTTTAAACAAATATTTATTATTTTCTGTTTTGCGTTTTGACGAAATCTTTTGTTTATCAGTCCGTTTTTTCTGTTTGTTAGTTGTTCTTGCATGAGTTACGTTATCCTAATAAAGTTTCAAATTTGTTTCTTGTGAGTTTTTTTTTTTTTTTTTTTTTCATTAATAAACACGGCTCTGTCATTTGAGTGACTAACTGTACACACTTGTTACGCCATGGCTATGTAATTCACAGAATAATGTACTTGGTGGAGCCAGTCAACTGAGTTTAACCCGAACACTGCTCGCTCCGACTCTTAACGCGCATACTTTGCAAGTTTTTTAATACTGTCAAACTAAGCTTTTAAATCAATCGAGTTCGGAGGATTTCAACCAGTTTTCAAATCAAAAGGAAAATCTAAATGTGCCTGAAAAACGAGCAGTATATTTGCTTTTAATTTTTATTTGTTTCATTATCCCCTTCTTTATGTAATTTCAAATTTGTCAAAACCAGATCTCGTCAGATTATTTTGGTATGGGACAAATTCGTCTTGAATGCTTTGATGGTTAAGACAAAAAGTGATACAGCCCTGTTATGCTGTATCACTCACTGGAATGTTACCAAACGGGCAAGTTCAAGTCTTCTGTCAATGAAAAACAAAGTCGATTTTATATTAAAGCTTTTGCCGTAACTGTTTATTATTATCATAATCATCTGTAAATAAATCTTTAAAAATAATAAATAAACGTCATACGTTTCTCTCCCAATAGAAAATTAGGAACTCTTTAAAATTGGTTCCTCTAATATAAACACATCAAAAGACGTCAAATCTACATAATTTATACTTTACAACCGCACACACTTAAATATCTTTGACAAAATTCGTGCATGATCGTCAAAAGTCGTGTATTTACGTAAAACGCGCTGCTGTTACAGCATAGGAAGCGCATAGATTGTCCATGTGATTGAAATAACAGTGATTTGGTGACGAGAATGCTAATAATTATTTGTGAACACTATACATTTAAATGCATCGCTTTCAAAGCAATGGTCATTTTAAAACGTGAAAAGCATTGGCGTGATGCGCCCGTCGTTCAAAAGGTGCATTAAGAAAGTTAAAATGAAATAAAAAATAAAATAAAAATAAAAATGAAATGTAAAAATTGCATTCAGCCCTTTGGCAGTCGGCTTCGTTTTCTGTCCCAATGTACTATTATAGGACCCTACGTACCATCCAATAGCTTTCGACATACATCCTCATCTCTAGGAGAAAACAAGTAGTCTTTGACTACAGAACTAAAAAGCACACGGCACAGACACCTTCTACGTGGAAGTGATACCTCTATGTGCACACGTCAAGCAAGCACGTGCCACGCGGAGAAGCTATCTTTACAAGACTGGCCTATGGTCAGCTAAATCAACTTTTAATTACTGTTTCCTCTGCGGAGCGTGCGCACCCGTGGTAGTCGAGTTACCATGGTAACACGACCTCGCGGAGTGGTTTGATCTAAAGCGAGGGATGTACGGTGTAATTGCTCTGTGCTGATTTCAATTATTCGAATTGATTGCATTTGAAATGGAAACATCGGTACAAATGTTACTTATAATTCATTTATCTGCCGGCCCCTTTTCCTTGTAGTCTGAAATGGGTGCAAATTTAATTTCTCAATCATGTCTTGTCGCCTTAAGATTTTCCGACAGACATATCTTAACAGGAATCGAGTGACTACCTTATGACCACAAAAATATATCATATTTACGGAGCTCCTATCTAAAGTGTATAATTAAATCATTGCATATTGCACATTGTTCTTAACCCCATAGCACTGCGGATTTTGTTATACTGTTACAGTGAATCTTCATTCCATTCCTTCAACACTGTGGCAGTAACAGCTTTTTTATCCCTCAGATTCACTGATATAAGTTTTTTGGCCGGTGGGTAATTTGGCAAATCATTGACGTCATGAATCCAAGATCTATGACGTCACAACTTTAAACAGACGACCCAGTGTCTTAGGTCAGTAAGCGAGTTCGCTTCCCCAGGGTCTGTAAGGTTTGACGGCGTGTGAGGAGGAAGACGGGTTGTAGTTGTGAGGACCTGTCGGTGAAAGCATGGGAAGAGAGTTCATACCTAGCGAAAACTGAGACGAGTGCTGTAAAGACGGAGGAACCAAGGAACTAGAGAGCTGAGGCATCTGCGCATGACCGGAAGACGAAGATGAGGCAACGCTTGACATCTGTGGCGCCGCACTAGCCGTTGTTGGAAGACGTAAATGGTGATTTCCTATGTTGGAGTTAACTGCATCCTGGTGGGGGTTATATTTTGGCTCTGAGCATGACGTCGGCAAAGCAGTGTGATGTGACGTCATAAGTTGATCCGTAGACTGCTGTGACGTAATCATGGGATTTCCTGAATACTGACTGTTCACGTTTATATTCATGTTAAAATGAGGGCTGGTCGTCATGTTCCACTGCGAGTTCTGATAGCTCGCCTTTGCCGCCGCCTCTCTTTGAGCGCTGAAACACTGCAGGTGGCTCATCAGGCGCAGGCGCAGCGGATCCTGGATGTCCATCCCCTCAACCGTGACCAGGTACCGCGCAACTTCCGCTGCGCACTCCCGGAAGCCAAGGCTCCTGTAGTCCATGGCCAGGGCGTGAGGGTCCGGGTAGTTGTAGCCGTTCAGACCTGCAAATATACAAATTATAATTAAACTATAGGGTTCATAATACATACCTAAGTGAAAGTTTTAATTTATTCAGTTATATTATACTAAGATAATGAAAAAAATAATTCTAGGTGTGATTTCCTTTCAGTGTAAGATGCAGTATTATAATTAATTTTTTGTTATCATGAGAAATATGTTTTTTTTTTTCTTTTTTTTTTGGGGGGGGGGAATTCACTGCAGTCATGAAATACAAAAAATCAAAGAAGAAAATAAATACAATGTACATTTAAATATACTCTTTTGTGCAATATTATGCTTTTGAAGTACTAATTTGAGAGAATTCATTTGCACCGAAGACCGAATTATTTCATTCCGGTCTCTTATCTTTCTCGCGTAGCTTAAAATCTTTACGCAGTATTTCTCAAAAGGTAATATAATTTGTCTATACGTGTTTATATGTAGTATCCTTATTTTATTTTATTCTTTGAAAATCACTCGTGCATTGACGAGTTCAAACAGTTCCTCCGTTTTATTTAGTTCCTTTCATCCTAAGTGAGAATAAGGTATATTCAACAATTGCGACGATTTATTCTAATCTATAAAATAATGACCGTTCGCAACAGAGGTATTCACATTGACAGGGTGCATTTATGATCTAAGTAAAGTGTCTTGATAAGAAATAGTTCTTAAAAGACAAAGTCAGACAGCTTTACGTAATCCTAAATCCACATCTGCGCAAGGTGAGACTGCTGTAGCAAAAATTTTATGTAAGGTAATGATAAAACGCATATAATTAGTATTAAATACACAAGGGATTTTATCCATTTTACTTGTATCTCTTTATAATGTATATTGTATAACGCTATATTTTTATCATTTATTTCATATCATTATTGTTATCCTATATCTATATATATATTTACATATTAGTTAGAGAGCCTTTAAATGTAAAAACATGTCCGTGCTCATTGAATCATTATCATTTAAATGACAACTGAGTTTTTTCAATCCATTTGTTTATTAAAATCCCCGCATGTCAACTGACCTACACGCGCCGAAGCGTCAACATTGTGACGCGACCCACGTCATTGTCTTGCCCATTACGGCCCCTATATCCCACGCTTTTTACGACTTTCTTCTTAATCGACCTGGTTTTTTATTTCATCTGTCGCGGCTAATCATTCCCGGCCTGGTAGTTTTCTTTTGTTCGCCGTATAATTGAATGCGGATCACACGAATAATTACTCCATGATTCAACACGAGCCTGTGGGAAAATGTCACCGTCGAGAAGTCAGGCTGGGCGTACAATGTGCTGGTAGATTACCGGAGATATTGTACGACAGGCCTACTTGACATGTGGTAGTAAAAGCTATGGGAAAGTCGTCCTCTCAGGATTCATTATGATCAAATTGGATTTCAAGCGCGTGTAATTTCAATAAAATCTGGCGATTAAGTTAATCACTATAAACGCGCGACATGGGGGTTGACAGTGTTGACGAAGGCGTTCAATTTCACACGACGGGACCATGTTGTGCTTCTTAAAAAAGGTGATCATTTTGACACCGGGTCACGGAGACATGACCTCACCCACGTGTGCCGCCTTAACTGTACTCGGAACTAACACGACGACAATGTGACAACACCGCAATTCCCAGCATGCCTCCCCCGCAAAATAAACCGAGTGCCAGTAGTTATATTTCACTGGTTTATACGGCGTTGCCCTCAGCCGAGGCTCTTGCATCATTGTGTTTTTTAATTAGAACGCTTTATTTTTTATCGAATAGCACGGCGCCTTATTGATACTACCATGAATGAATTGCCATAATACAGAAAGGCTACTGCCCATTACAGTAGAATTCACAAGCTGTCTTATTTCAATTTCACACGACAGTTTTAAGACAGACTACTACCGGTGAAAGAACAAGACCCTCAACTTGTTTCAATTTGGACATAATTATATTTATCAAAATACCTTGGTAATCAAAGCGATTATTTGGTAAAAGTTCTGATTTTCTGGCACAGATACCTAATGTGTGGTGTCTTAACAAGCTAAACATAACACACCTGGGTATTGTGCTTAAGAAGAAAGAATATACTTCCGCAGAAAACCACTTTGGTTACTCGCTCATTAACGATTCTCTTTATCGCATAACACTTTATTGTACTACCGAGAATGAATAACCATAATATAGTCTAGCTTCTTGCTAAAACAGAAAAGGGGAGTTACGAGATGTCTAATTACAACTCAACAACTTTGAGGCAGACTACAATATGCTAACAGTTAAACGGTGATAATAATAAGACCCTCCATTTGTTTCAATTTTGATTATAATTATACTTATCAAAATACCTTAGTTACGCGATTTTTCAGTTAAAGCTCGGATTTTCAGCGCTTGGTGTCTTAACAAGCTAAACATAACACACCTGGGTATTGTACTTAAACCTCTTTTCTCACACGTTTGCAGATCAGAATTGTTTCAACAATTAAAGTGCCCCGGGTCGCCGCCAGGAAAGAAAATATTTCCGCAGAAATCCATATCGGTTACTCGCTCATTAATGCTAATAGCAATTAGCCAGCACGAGATGTTATCGCTTCATCGATCGAGATTATCTTCCAGCAGAAAGGGGATATTTATATACCGATGTGCACACTATACATCACATATATCAATTAGATGGTGAATTAATGGCCACAACTAAGGCACGTCTTGTTATTAGGTAATTTCATAACGTTTACTTATAATGGACATTACAAAATCTCTCATAAAATGAGGGGAAAATATCTTTATAGTGTGATCAGGTGCATAATGAAAGCGTTTTTGTAAGAAGGTTTGTGTGATGTAGAAGTCTTCACAGAGAGAGGTAACGTTTAAGTTCTAGTATAATACAGAATCCATAAATCAGTAATAAGTACTGGATACAAATGTAGATGACAAACAGTTGTTACTTGTACACTATGTTTTTTTTTTTTTTTCTTATCTTTAAGAGGAATGATGATTGCATCCGAAATGCAATTAAAAATACAAAAAAGACATTAAATAAAATAAAAACAATATTTTCACATTAAACAAAGACAGATATGCATCTAAATATCAACTTACCCTTCTGGTGCAGCACCTTTAAGTGATCCACCGTCATCTGAAGAATTTCAGCTTTCTCTAACTTCGCTGAACCCTGGTGACAAGATACAAACACTTTGATTAGAGCGAGAATATTTTCTTTTTAAAAAGTGCTGTCAAACATATTATCTATAGTCATCTAATGACGCTGGCTAAGGAGTACGGGCACACATTTTAACAGAGCGTTACTACTGCAATTGTATCAAGGAGAGAAAATCTGTACATTTTTTAAATTTTATAATTAAAAAGAGATCGTTTTGCTTCGCTTACAAGACAAAGAGGCCATTACACAAAATTGTGCATTTTTTCGTCAATATACGAATTAATGAAGACACCATTTTATACACATCGTTTCATTTTTGAAAGGCTCGAGGTTGTTCAGATGCATTACTATAACAGGAGGGAAACACCGGTTGAGATTTCCAAAAGAAGGAACCAAAATAGCCCGTGGACCAGGAAGTAGGAAGGAAAGTGAGCCCAACCTGACATTTTTTCTGTGTATACCGAGTACGAAATCTCTCCCAATACACAAACAACGTACGCATTAATTGATCGTGAAGCGTGCTCGTATCCTCCACGTGAATGAATCGCCTCTCAAACAAAGCCACGTGGCGTTGTGGACATAGGCAGAGTACTTCTTAAGTTGTGTTGCTTTTTTGATCGATTTGATAATCCGAGCGGTAAAATCAGTGGCCGCGTTGTGAACGGCAAACAAACGTCGACCCGCTATGATCTTTGTGCGCACTGGGCCGTGGTAGATCGTCACCCTTTAACCTGGGTCACGGATTGATTTTTTCACTAGATATTCGTTTTCTTTTTTCTGCAGTGAGAATTTTGGTATGGATTTAACGTCATCATTCAGTTGGCCTCGGATGTAGAGAAGTACCCTGTGCTAATAACTCGAGTCATTTCCAAGGCGCTTTGACATCATGACACACAACTTAATACAGCAACTCATATTTCAGGCAACTCATTCATTGTATACAAGCACAATCAAGTCCGATAATGACACAGTATTATGTCATGATAATATGCATTGGATATAATATTTTCTAAATATCAATATCTCTGTGTAAACAAATGTTAATTGCTATTGTAGTTTCATCACCCTATATTGGTAGGGCATAGCCATTCTTAAGACGCACTCGCACCGAAATAATAAAATGAATGCGCAAGCAGCTGGGGAGGGGAATGCGACAAATTCGGGCAGGGATTGGTCAGCTTGGCACGCGCCTTGTCACCGGCTTTTCTCCTCCTTTTATCATGGTGACGTGAAAAGGGTTCTCGGCGACCAGAAGCTATTTGCACTGCCAACAGTGACATATATCACAGCGCAGTGGGAAAGATCAACACGCGGCACGCGGGAACTGCGGTCGCGATGTCAACTTGAACAGCGTGCGGCGGTCACGGTTCGCCGAGTCCGCTACTTAATATCTGCGTCTATTCTATATTTATTCGCTTGGCAGGCGGGAATAATGTCCCCCAAATCATACTGTTTTCATGCAGGGTCATCTGGGTCGTGTGTGCTCTCTGTCGGATTTCATACAGTATTTGTAATAACAGGCGACGGCTATTAACTCCCTGGCGGTATTGAGGGGTTTGAAGTTACGCTGTGAGTTTTGAAAGGGGAGGATCTCAGAAGACAAATATTCATGGCAATTTTACTTGGCGGAATAAAAAATGTTTTTACCTGTTTTTCAAATGCGGTTGGCACCAGTCGGCGCAGCTCCGCTAAGCTGTTGTTGATTCGATCCCGTCTTCGTTTTTCTATTATCTGTAAAAAGATATGGTGTTATATTCATATACTTATACATGAAGCCAAAAAGCACTTAAAATAACATCAGTAGTATGATAAGTGAAATTATATATTTGCCATCGACAAAATTATAAGTGAAAAATTATCACATTCAGTATATATATATATGCTTTAGCTGAAGCTAAGCTATTTATTTTCGTGAACATTTTTTTGTGAAAAGCGGACATTAGAGGTCGCTCTAGTTTCTGTCTGAAGGACTCGAACCACTGTAGGAAAAAATGTCGAGAGAAGATAGCTCTTAGTGAAACCACCTGCGGGGATGAAAGAAAAACATCAATCCACCGAAAAACAAACAGGCGGCTATTATCCAATTATGGGCCAAAGTTCGATACAGATGTGGTACACGTTACTTTAATTCAAAGCACATAAAAAACAACACGGCCGGTCCCCCTAATTTGTTGTTAAATTAAGCAAGACGCAAGCGTCTGTGTGTAAAGGGGAATGGTCGGCTTGTTAATGTTTTGATCGACTGATGATGTAAGCGGCCTATGCCGGGGGGGGGGGGGGGGGGGGGGGGGGGA